AAAAAGATAATACGGAGTAATAATTTTCCCATAAATATGATTAAAACTATATTAAAAATGAAATTATCCATGTATAAATAACGGTCCCAGTGAAAGATCTTCAATTGGCATTGTGGTTTCACCTTACCACCAAAGTATAGCAGATGACCTACAACTTGTCTTGAAAACATTTAGAACTAACAACTTCTATAAAAAACAACCAACACTTTCCCAAACGCTTTAGTGAAATCAAATACAGGATCCTTTTTACATCCACAAGAAATTGTATCAACAAACTAACTAGGTTTGTCGATTGTGTGGCATTCTATATTGGAGGGTCTCCTTGTGAAGTATCAACTCGTGCAGAAGAACATTTGAGATATCCACCTATTAATCCAGTGGAGCTACCAAATCAATGTAAAAATATATTAAACTAATTCAGAAAGCTTTTTCTAACAACAGAGTTGACTAGCCAAATCATTTCATATAATGTCAGATCCCTCTTCCCTCTTGGCCGAAAAACAACATGACATTGACATTTTCAAACCTGTGGCGGTAAATAAATAGTTTTGTAAGTCTTCAATGCTGACCTAACAAGTTTTACTAAACACTACACCCTATCTGAAAGCGCTCAGTCACGCATCCACATCAGATTACCGTTGAGTTACGACTTGTAACGCATCTCCTCGAATAAAGCAGGAAACTTAGTTCACTCCTCAATTTTTATTTTGCGTCATTTCCTTTTTACTATTTAAACTTGTGCTAATTTATGTTGATTATTGACTTGTTTAAGATGAAAAAGTGGTTTTGCATTCAGTCCTGAAATGTCAGAAATATACAAATTTCTACTTAATAGGATTTGTCGTTACTATATATAGCGATTATATGAATAATTTCGCAACTACAAACAATGAAATGAAAATCTAAACATCAAAGATTTTTCTTTTCCAATATCCAATTAACTTGTATGTAATAGAATATAACTTTAAACATGGTTGAAATCATTCAATACATAACATAAATACTTTTAATTTAGGTCACATATTTTATAGTAAAGAATATAATATAAATAGTTTATTAATCAAATAAAATCAAATCATTGATTAATACAGAGAAAAGAAACAAAACTGAGTTATATAATATGTAACGCGCATTCACAAAGGCTATTATTGATTTTTACGCAATACACAAAATATGCTTCTGTCTGTGTGTGATCTGAACAGCATACATTCAGACATACGACATTATGCGTAATTCAAGTGAGAAAAATGAAATAATTTCAGAAAACTTACAGTTTCAGACAAACATATTTAATTTATACTAAAAATTTACGAAAGGGATGATGATTGTCTCACACAGCAGTCCAAACAAACAAGGAAAGTACTTATAGGATGGGAACCTCATGGAGCCAAGATCATCAGATAATCTTTCAAGTTAAAGAAAGAAGAGATTACAATAAATGTTTTATCTAGTTTTATGTGACCACTAATTTTGGCAAGGAAGACGATAAGGAGCAGTTTTGAGAGAGGCTGCAGTCAGTTGTGGAGAATCGCCCAGAAAAGGATCTAACCACCCTAGTAGGAGACTCAAACGCCAAAGTTAGAATGGACAACGGTGGATATGAAGATAATATAAGTCAAAATGGACTGGGAGAAAGGAACGAAAATGGGGTGTGTTTTGTACACCTAAGTGCCTTCCAAAAATGGTTATAGGTGGCGCTATATTCCTACACGAACGCACACAATAGAGTTTCATCAGTAAACAGTACTGAGGATCAGATCGATGGCATTGATACCAATAGAAACTCCAGAAAGTTCACTGCAGATGGTCATCAGACAAATCAAGAATGTTTAAGCACAACAAACAGAAAGTATACAAGCCAAAGCACTGTACAGAAGTTACCACAGAGAAGATGTAATCCACTGGTTTGAAAAGTGGTTAAAAACTAACAACCAAACTGTTATAGTTTCCTCTTCCATTTCTCATTACCGTGAGAGGAACGTCTCTGACTACAAGAATTCTTCGAAATAATTGACTTCCCTGTTTTATTACTTATTCTGATTCGCTCATTTTTATGGCGTATAGTGATTTCGGTCTCCATTTAGACTAATATCGATAAGCATTAATAATAAATAGAGAATAAACCTTTTTTTCTCATTGCATATTATCGATATTCATTTGTTTACATAATGATTCCTCTTACACTATTTCAAATCCTTTACTATTCATCTTACTTTTATCGCCTGACAATGCATATGTATCGGACTCTGCATAATTACGACTGGCAATAAACATTTCCAACCTTAAAGAAACTCATTTAATCTGTGGTAGTGTAATTCAGTCCAGTTATTGTTTACTTTCAACAGTTGATAACGCCCATAAACCGATCACTAGTAAAGTTCACTACGACTGTGCTTTCGGTAATAATTCACTTCCATGTACTTTTTTTTCTAACGTATTTACTTAGACAAAAAATATGTAGATATCTTTTTATTAGATTTTCATACACTAACTGAGTTATCAACACTGAGGCTAATTTTGATTAAATGACTGATTTTATTTATTTACTTTATACACACAATTATTGATACGAAGGGACACCTAAATATTTATCCATAACATAAATGTGTGCATAGGTTAAAATACTACCCGAATGCACTAACCGAAGTAGATGGTTTTCTTAGAAGGCTATATCTGGAGTTTCTGACCAAGAGTTCTAATCGACAATGTAGCAGAGCAACCTTTGAGAATGTTCTAATGATAGCTGGCGACTAACAATAAGTTTATATGTCATTAGCTCCGTCAAGATCATGAGGCCTATGTGCACCACTCCCTAATAATCAGGGTTACCCAGCTATTCTGGGTGAATCGTCTATACACACTAAGCCAATTCAGGCGGCCAGGTAAAAGTTGATTCACACGTATATCAGTTAGACTTGCCACACCGCATAAGCACAGAGACGCGATTTTCAATTCAAATCCCATAGTAAGAGAGGTGGTAAAGGTATTAGCAGTAATCGGAGAGATTAGGGTTCGACGATATTATGCAAGAAGTAGAATCTACCTACATGACTTAGTCCACTTGTCAGCGACTTCATGGATCTCTGCCATGTTTTACTCTGGCCGCCCCTTGCTTTTTTCCAACCGATTACTACATCGCAAAACATAGCTCGACGAGGCAGTGGGTGGTTAAACATACGCAATACATGTCCCAACCACCCCAAATGATGGAGTATCACAGCTTCATCAATTGATCTGCCATTTCTACTTATTGCTCGTTTCCTAACGACAACATTGCTTACTCGGCTGACCCAGGATAAACGAACCTTGCTTTGCTGACACCTATGATCGAAGACAAGCTCCCTACGAATGTCCTCTACTCTCACCGGCCAAGTTTCGCATCCGTATAGTAAGACAGAGAGAACTAATGCACAATAAACCCGTCGTTTGGTGAGCAAACGGACATCTCGCCTACGCCGTAGGCAACACAGTTTGGCAGAAGCCAATCGAGCCTTCTGTATCCGTGCTGAAATTTCGTCAGTCACCAGTACTGATTAGTAATCGATAGGCTCAACTGCTTCACTCACTATCAATAGTTCAGGTGCCGATACAAGCCAATCCTAAAGCAACATTGTGCATTACGACGGAGCGAATCGCATCCCGAACATGTTTGCATTGCTGCTTAGGGTAGTCTAAAGACTGCGTTTTATCAGCGTCTTCACCAAACAGAACGATATCATCGACATATTCTAAATCAACCAATGAATCTACTGGTAGGTCTACTCTGGAAAGTTCAGACGAAGATAATATTACATCTAGAAGCATAACTACTACAAAATTAAAGAAGAATGGAGAAGCAGACATCCCTGACGGACATCACTTGAAGTAATCGATTCCGATGACAGTTCGCCACTAGCTCCCACTCAACCTGTAATGTTCGAGTACAGAGCCTGTATAAGATTATCGTACACCTTTCAATGAAAGACACTGTCACAGAACTTCACGATCCACAGAGTCAAATGCCGCCTTAAGGTCAAGGAAGACAGCTATTGTTGGACGCCTAAATGTGTGTCGGTGTTGCACGACCTGTCGTAGTGTGAATATGTAGTCTATACAGCCACGTCAGGTCTGAAACCAGTCTGGTCTTCTCGAGTCTGCTCTTCACGAGCTAGAACCGTAGATGAGACACAGAGGACATCAACAAAAGCATACTAGATGGAGAAGCTCTGGAGACGGTGAAAACGTTTACGCACTTGAGGCAATACTATTGATAAATAAGAAAGATCTGATGTAGAATAGTAAAGCTAGTGCAACACTCGTGAGACTGAAGAGCACCTAGAACTGCAAATAAATTTCAGACAACAACAAACCATGATATGGCATCAGTCTATGAACCATGTGGATAGTTCTCGACTACCTGGTTGGAGACGTTGTGTAACATGGCTCAGCGACGTGCATCTTTAGTTTTCCCTAATATGTTGTTTCAGAAGCACATAGAATTTCTCATACTGCGAATAAACTCTTTCTTCTTTAGTCATAAATCTGTTTACACAATCCTTGTTACAATCATTGATGGAACCAAGGTTTCGACAATCATCGTTTTGTTGTAGTGTGCAACTTGTTTATGGAACGGCTGACTTGATTTACACTGCATATTCCGAATCATCATGTAGCTTAGAGGACAACCATTGGTAATATGACTCCATTGATGACCCTTTTAGTTAGTACAATTTCATAATATGTATAGCTTATCATTGATTATGCTGTTATAACTTTACATTGTAACACTAGCATTCAAGTAAGAATAAATCTTAATTAAAAAAAGAAATATTATACACTTTTAAGTATAGTTTGTTTTCTTTACCAAAAATTACTCAAGACAAAGTGTATGCAAATACTCGTGAAAACGTTTGCTCAATAGTAATAATATTAAATAATAACAATGATAATAATAATAAGAATAATCAGTGTTGATTTGTTTTGTTGTTTCTTTTTTCAATTTTAAACATTTTTTAAATTGCCTAATTTCCAGTGACATCTTTAAACACTGTACAATCAGTATTCAAATCTAATTTGTACAATTGATCAACAAAATACGGTCTACCATAACGTTCAAAATGTAAAGCATCTTCTTCATTAAATTTACATCCGTTTAATGGATCCACACCAGTGATATGACGTTTAGTCAATACTTCAATTGGCATCCCATTGGATTTGGCTAATTGTGGTGGTAAAATAACCATTGTATGTTCAAATTGAGCTGATCTTAAACCATCCACAGTAACTGCAGTCCAATTATCTGGCCATAATTCATCACGCCAATTACCTTCATTTATCATTGGTTCAATAGTAAAACAATGTCCTGGTTTCATGACACCTACTGCCTTGTTACCTTGATAATAAGGTATAACAAACAAAATAAAAAGTCGAAATATTAAATAAAAATTATACTACAATATATAAGTAAATTCAAAACAAAATTTACATACTACTTTTATGAATGGATATGAAGTAATAGTAGTCATATTCATATATTATCAGTCACACAGAGAGCTGTAGTAATAGGACGATCAGCAGTTCATACAACCAGAGAGTTGATGTTAAAAATCATATGTATATCGAAATAATTAATTCTCCAAGCATTAATTACTTTACGGTGAACAGACATTGTTGAGTAATATAAAAAACTGCTATAAAAACACACTTGGGATCAAAAGATCTAATTGACAAGTGAATGAGTAATCGTATGTCGGTTTCATACATCATTTACAACAATAGAGTTGAATAATACTTGACTGCCTGCCAATTTCTGGTTTTTCACAAAAGTTGCTGAAGTTGTGGTCTAGATGTCTGAATTAGTAGATTTCAGTCTCACCTCATTTCAGTTCTTTTCAAATCATAATTTCGATAATCAACGCCTCCTCACTATTGATAGTACCGTTAATATTTCGGCTCGCTTTGACTTTCAGTTTGTTAATTAACAGTTGATATGCAAAAATTGGAATACGTCTATTTCAACTATCCAAGATTTAATATTCGTTACGGACTGTCCGATTACATACAATAATTTTATCGAATAATGATTACATCCTACTTTGATTCCTTACAAATACTGTACAACAAATCAAACTTCTAAGTAATTTAACTTAGTGGTGAAATGACTTTTAAAAATACTTGCAATACACAAGTATCAATCAGTCTCGGCGAGACATAGTCCAATAGCATGTGCTGTCAAATACTCTGGTAAATCCGATAGTAGTGGAGAGTCCACCCTACTTTACGAAATGTTTATAAGGCCACGTATGTATGGCCGCTATCAAGGAATTCCCAGTAACTATTTTCTCGTGGTAGGGTTGATTACGAAATCGGAGGGACGAAGAGCGAATGTTCAGAGCTTTTACTGGTTGAAAAACCCTGATTCTAAAACGATAGCGCACATAGGCTCCAAGATGTTGAAAGAGCTAATGACATATAAACCTATTGTTAGTCACCAGCTGTCATTAGAACATCCTCAAACGTTGCTCTGCTACCTTGTCGATTAGAACTCTTGGTCAGAAACTCCAGATATAGCCTTCTAAGAAAACCATCTACTTCGGTTAGTGCATTCGGGTAGTATTTTAGCCTATGCACACATTTATGTGACGGATAAATATTTAGGTGTCCCTTCGTATCAATAATTGTGTGTATAAAATAAATAAATAAAATCAGTCATTTAATCAAAATTAGCCTCAATGTTGATAACTCAGTCAGTGTATGGAAAGCTAATCAAAAGATATCTACATATTCTTTGTCGAAGTAAATACGTAAGGAAAAAAATACATGGAAGTGAATTATTACCAAAAGCAAAGCCGTAAAGAATTCTTCCAGTCAGAGAAGTTTCTCTCACTTTAATGACTAATGTAAAAGAAAACTACAACAGGTTGATTGTTGGTTTTCTGTTTCGAGCCGAGTCTGATAATTTTGCAAACCAGTGAGGTATGCATGAAAGTATACTTGTACTTATAGTTTAGAACATAAAGAGTGCATCGTGTCAATGTGAGATGTATTCTCAGTCAGGTCGGCCGACATCTCTAAACACTGATTGCAGTTTTTGAGTGAACATTGTACACAATCAAAATCTCTATGCTAATTACTTAAAATTCCGTATATTTCCACTATCAGGCCCTCATCTTCCACCTCAAACATTATTGAGGAGTACTACGAGTCTGAGATCAAGCATGCTATTTGTTCATATGTAGAAATTTCTAAGTCAGACACTGCAGTGAGTGAGAATTCGATAGATATCGAAGAGTTTGTTGACAAGTAGATGAAAAAAATATTCACAACCTTAATTACAAATAATGACTGCATTGTTCAACTATTTCATTAAGTTGTATTCAATCAGTGAGTAGTATTATGACATGTGATCATCAATGTATCAAATCAGATGAACATGTTAACATTTTCAGAATTCCCCAATGAATAATAGAAATAGAATTTGTAGCATTACCGTTATAGTTTTTTGCAGAAAAGAAATTGGATGGAAAACTTTTAATGAAATTAATGTTTAATGGATCGATATAGTCAGGTGACTGAAAAAACCGAAATCTCTGTAAACACATGATGTCTACCTCTTCTATATATCATCAGTAATGATTTTCCAGAAATGTGTTTGACTCAATAAGAAATGAACTTACGTGAATAGTGAAGAATATTTGGAGGACAGTGAAATAATCGATGTATTCCATGACCTGAATAAGTTTTGACCACAGAAAATCCACCAAGTGAAGCATTTTTTGAAATTATCTCTCCCATTTCACGATATTTAATACCTGGATGAACTGAGATAGTGAGGTAAAAATGTCCATTAGACATCGACATAATATTTTGAACAAACGGGAATTTATAATATTCATTTAAGTGTTCGGTCACATTTATGCTTTGATTAAGCGATAAGTATATTATATTCCATGAAAAAGACAACTATGATGAGATCTAGTTAGGGGTTAAAGTTGTATGGAAGCTAGAAATTTAGACACTAGGCAAGTTAACCGGATTCCTCTGTGACTGTCACAATAGTACTTTTGTCCTTTCTTATAACTTGAGACAATAAGGGATTGAAACCAGTTGGATGGGATTACACCTAGTTCCCAAATTCTACCTAAGATCTCAGTCAGTCTAACTGTTAAAACTGGACCACTATCCTTAAAAATCTCAGGGGTCAATCTGTCAGGACCCGCTACCCTCCCTCGCTCCAAGTTTCCCATAACTTTTTGAACTTCATAAAGAGTCGGACGACTTACGTCGATTTTCCACATTAACAGACGGAAAACTTACATAAATTCACCTTTCAGGATTCATAATATCGGTTACCTTGCTAAGTCTGAATATTTGCCTGTTATCGCTGCCTTTTCCATCGCTCTTGATTTCGCTACCCACCACTGTTCACGATCGTTGCGTAGGCTTTTTTCAGCCTGCGCTTAAGCTGACTCCGCTCCTCATCGTACTCAGAGCCGAACGGGATGAGTTTCCGAGTATCTATCATTTCGGTAGATGTTACTGAAATCCACTGCTTCTATCTAATCTTATGGTTATATCACCGCTGCTTCCACAGCCTTTTCGATGTTATTCTAAGCTGCTCCCGAATGGGAATCACTTACATGGCCACCCAACTGTTTTTTCTAGTTGCACCTGAAATATATACTTAGGTATGCTATCATTAAGTAGAACCCTACGAGGTTTTCTTGCGGTGTCTTTCCTACGTCCAGTAAGCCGCAAGCAAATACGCGCTCGCACTAAAGCATGACCTTAGTCTTATCAAGTGCTCCAGAATGAGCAGCAGTGTTCAATAGAATCTCTCCATCGATGGCTTATAGCGATGTGATCTAGTTGAATCCATCGTTAGGTAGGCTTTGGGGGTCGCTAGGTCAAGAGATGTTTTTTCCTTATGCCTAAAATTAGTTTGCTAGAAATAGGCGATTATCTGAGTATTTCTGCAGCAGATGGTCGCCATTATCTGTTCTAATAGCCCCGACGTCGTAAGATCCACACACGTGCCTTTCCTTTTCACTCAGTCTACCTACTTGAGTATTAAATTAACCAGCCATTATTACTATTTCACAGCGCCTAACATTTTGTGGGATGTCCGAAAGCTTCCTTTAAAACTCACCTTTTACCTCGTCTGAACTGCAGTCAGTGGGAGCGTAGGCAGATACGACGAAGAGGCAACGGCATGTGTCCCTATCCCTACGCATCCTTACCGTACCGTTTAGTCTGACAGCGCATAAGCGATTATCTACTGGGATCCAGTCCAAGAGAGATAGTTCTGCCCTCCGGCTTAATACTATACCTACACCAGCTAGGCCACGGGAAGCAGCAGCAGGGCTTAGAGATACACAGGAAAGAAAGAAGGGTTGGTCGTGGAAATAAGAGATGTGAAGGTCATAAAAAGGACTCGATTCTGACCAATTTGGTTTTGTATGCTTCTATGGGTATGAGGGCGGTTGACACTTTCCCGCTGCACACGCCATAGTAGGGTTTTGGTTGTCAGAAGAGGTAAAGGCCTCGTGACTTCCGAAGAAACTCGGCTTTCATCATGAGACGTCATAACTCTTTTAAATGAATACCAGCTAACTCCCAGAGCAAGGTTTAAATGGTTTGAATTATTTTTACATGTTAACGCTTTCAGGTGGGTTAGTTTTTTGCGGGATGGGGTTAGGGTCGATGTCACTTCCCGATCACACTCAATGTGGAGTGGTGTTTCTTGAGGAACCTGAAAAGGAAGTCGGGTTAGTGTTGGTCATAGCGACCTGAGAGTGTGATCGCAGAATCCAAGGGATAACTGCTTCAGGCCGTTCACAAACGACCTTTTTATAAGAAGCTTTAAAATTGCTAGCTCCGCTCATTAAGTGGCCTTATCGTCGGAAATGGAAATCCGTGAGGTAAGGTGAGGTGTGACATTGTTAGGGTAAGTCTTTTCTAACCCTTCCTTCCGTTATGAGAAGGCGGCATCGCCTCAGATACTGGTTTTTTGAGGGAAACACCTTACTGCTGTCACACCTCTCTACAGTTAGCAGTACGACTACGCCCTCAAACCTTGAGTAGATGCTTTTACTCTCACCATTCTCCAATCGACCTGCCTGGCATGGTAGAACCTACAGGAACATATATCCCAGCAAATATGGCTCAATCACATAATCACGACAGGCAAGCTCGACCACCACATCAAGGTAGCAGCTACAATCAGGCCTTAGACATCGCTGCTGTTTTCACAGCTGTCAACTCATATCGGGGTGAACATCAGTTTGAAGACTGACTAATAGCTTCTTTACTTGTTCCTGAAATGTACTCTTGATTTATTGCTGTATTATTTCTGTATCCATTAAGTTGTAAACAAACACCTGGTCAAGATAGAGTATGACTAAAGTTTAGATATATGCTCCAAAATGAGTGGTAGCAAGTAAAGAGCCTCTTCAACGACGGCTGACAGTGATATGACCTACTTTTGTACATTTTAGAATAGTAATAAAAGGGCCGCAATGTCAGACAACACCCCTCTTTATGATGGAAGTTGATGCTTAGAACTAATCAATACTATCACAAAGACCATAAAACGCTAACATTTTCTCCTCATAGGAAAAACAGATATGTAATTAGGGAGAAAAATCAAACAGAAAATCAACTTACCAGCATCCATAGATCTAACTAAACATTTGTAAGCATTTTTCACTAGATTAATTGAACGATCATCAGGCTGACCGACAAACACTGTCTCATTAACATCACCATGAAATCCATTGTGGTATGTGGTAATATCAACTAAATAAAATGATTTTAATCAATAAGAAAATGTCTTTAATATGAAGTTAGGCTATACATATATATTTAATTAGATGACCATTACAAATTAATAATCTACATAGTTTTACACAGCAATGTGACCTGAATAGATTCAAAAAAAACTAAGTAGGGATAAGCAAAAACAGAAGCTATAGTATGTTTGTAGTGTAAATATGAGTTGTTCAGTACTTGAACTACATTTTTTCGGTATCCCTTAACAGAAAAAAAAGCAATCATAGATTGTTAATTCACATACAATCACGGAGTATTTCAATTTCGTTTTCAGTTTACTTTCAATCAGAATCTTTAAAAAAGTTTAATTCATTTCAGCCTGTCCAGCTTATATATAACTCAATAAACTCTGCTTATTCAGACTTTTAGTTACTATTAGGTTTTCAATCCAAGAGAGATGATAGAAAGTACTTGAAATAAACGTAATATAGAGGTAATGCCAATGCATCGATGTTGTGCACAGTTTGACATTAACAACAATTAAGAATGTGATGTCAAAGGAGAAGGAGAATTAACGACTATGGCTTTGTAAATATAATCAGGATATACAATTAGATACAAATAAAGTGTTCACTAGGTCGGTGTTTTGTATGTCTTTTCACTTTTATTACATTCCTTGTGGATATTATATGAAACTACTTATTTTATATTCAGTAACCAGTTTTAACTATAATAACTTTTGAGCTCAAATAGTGTCTCATGTGTATCGACTGTTTCGCTATGATTTTAATCATTTTTATAATCTAAAAGCGATCAATTTATTAAGGAAATTCCATCTCTAAAATAACATGCAAAAGTCACTACCAATCCTTTTTTTATTTATTGAACATTTATTTTATTGTAACAGTTTCTATTTCTGACGCTCTTCGTTACTATGTGTAGTCCTTGTTTGCTTCTGAAGCTTCTAATGACATACTACTGTTGCGTATAAATTTAAATATCTGTTTCAGTGAACACTGTTCAATGAGTGTACATGAGCACAGCAGATATCGATTGAGGTTTGTAATGCATTTCATATATTCTAGTAATAATGGTGCCGTATTTTCAGATAATATTGTTCTTGATTGCCAGATCTTATGCATCGCTTGATCATGTGGTCAGAAACTTCGAATAAATTTAACACAATTCTTAGACAATATAATCGAATTATTGATAAGGTTGAGATTAGATCAGAGGAAGCATTACAAACAAAAATAAGCGGGATGAAAAAAATTAATTCTGATGGGAACAAAAACCTTTGAAAAACATTGTCATGTACAAATCAAATGAACACAGCTTTACGTATACGCCTGACTGTTGACAATCTGAATAGATAGGATAGGGTGCAATAGACTGAACCTTGGCGAATATATAGACTACTAAATGAAGTATCCCACTGTAACTCAAACATGGTCATAAGTCATTTATCTACCTAGAGGTTACTACTCAAATATTCAGCTGAATGACATATTACTAAGATATACACAAAAGTTAGGATGATTATAAAGGTTGTAGTTTAAACAGTTTTTTTTGCATTTTAACAAGTGAATGAAATATCAGCTATTTACATCTGTGATCGTCTATACGGAAATAATATAACAACTCTAGGTGAATGGTGAATAAAACACATTCCTAGAGTTACAAATCATCTTAATGCATTGATTCTAGTTGCTTTAACATCTTTTAAAGTGTAATTCAAGAAATCAGCAGATGATTTGAAAACAACTTAAATTGTTGCTCTGTGGAAATTTTATTGAAATTGTTAGTATAAACATGTAGGTATGAAGAAGTATAATAAAATAGTCAGAGTTAATTAGGAATCAATATGATGGTTATCATAAAGTCAGTCAGTATGTCATTCAGCTAACTCAATCTTAACTGTTTTAAGAGAACCCACATAAACACTTTGTCGGTAATAAACTCCGGTCACTAACAGAGTCACACTGGCACTACAGATAACCAATGACTCTGAGACATTCGGGGATATAGGTTCAGAAATAATCGCAGTGGGTTTGATGAGAATTTTGTTCTTCTGTTGATCTTGAGTTTTGAAACTATCATTATGCTACAAATCAACTCTTTCTTCAGGAGTCTTAGCGTTTTTACCTAACTGTTGTTCCTGTAACTGATATTAAATTATTGCTGAAAAAACTGACTGCTTGAGTTGTATTAGGTCACGTGCGATCAGATCGTAATCATCGGGAACATCATTTAATAGTCAGCAAGTTCGTCTAAACAGACAGTAAGATCGGAAACCTAATAAGCATCAACCGATACACCAACTAATGAACAACAAAAAGAAACTTAGGAAAGCCATGAATGTAGAAATTAGACCACATCTTTATTGCAAATAATTAGGGCTCGAAACTCATACTATAAAGGATATAAAATGTCTGAAAGTACAGAAACACAATCATGAAAATACGCTACATGTAACAGTCATAAATCATCCAACATTAGATTAACTGCAAAACGATTAATTAATTTTAAACATTCAATAATAAAACGCATTAAAATAAGCTATCATTTAACCAGAGAGTTTAAAAACAATATAAAAAGATATAAAAGTCTTAGTGTTCAAAAAATTGTACATTAAAAATATAAATAATGATCCACCGTATAACAGTCTCAAAATTTAGCCAATTTCATATTCTTCAAGCCTTAATGTCGACTGTGTTATATCGATCAAGTTAAAATATGTATGTCCACAAATTCATCAGAACTTTCCAATCGAATAGAAGCCCTGAGAGTCTACATTTCATGCTTGTTGACACTTGTCTGCATGTTATATACACAAACTTCAAGGAACTGGTATTCTCAATAAGAATAACACTATTGATACATTATTCTCAGTACAATTCAAACAAAATCAATGCATGAACAAACATAAGTAAAGTGAATAGAGAATCACAGAAAGTATACTCAAATGAGAACTATTGTAGTAAACACTTGTGTTTGTCTATGAGAAGATTAAAGTGATAGTAGTAACTTAGAAGATAAATTTATGGATTATTATTATTATATAATCTTATTGTATAATTATTAATTGATCAGATTATGATAAATATATTCCTTTCATCATGACCATCTGATAAACGCACAAACTACAATTGTATGATTTATTATTCTTAATTCTGTTGCTATTTTATTATTCACGGATTTTCTTATTCATAGCCACTTTTTAGCTTGTTCATGTATAATTTCCCATTTATCGGTGTGATGCGGTTAAGTACGTCTGTATATAATAGAACAGGTATGTTTGATTCACATAGTGTAAGGCTGATTACTGTGTTCTGGACTCAATGAGCAGGGCAAGGAAAAAAACTACCGAATAGAAGATCAATAAGAACACAGCAGTGACTCAAGCTTTCAAATTCTAGTTGGTGTGCCATTGATATTAGCCCAGGGAAAAGTCCGTTAAAATCGATATTCTAGGTGGTGGGTTCATCCTATGATATTAGTAAGCAGTCGAACAAATAATAACCCGATTATTAAGCAATTATAAAAAAATTTCATAACGTACTGTTCAAAATATCTCCATTTCGTAAACGTCGCATATCCGGTATCCCGTGACAAATTACCTCATTAACTGATCTGAAACATTGACATTAAACGTACAACAATATCAGCCGTTATATATATATATATATATATATATATATATATATATATATATATATATATATATTTGGGAACTGAGTGTAATCCAATCTAACTGGTCTTACTCACTTATTGTCCCAAGTTATAAAAAAGGACAAAAGTACTCTTGCGACAATCACAGAGGAATCAGGTTAACTTACATAGTGTCTAAATTTCTAGCTTCGATAAAACTTCAACCCCTAACTAGAGCACGTCAAGAGCAGACTTGAGAAGACCAGGCTAGTTTCAGACCTGAACGTGGATGTATAGACCACTCAAATACACACTTCGACAGGTTCCGGAACACAGACACACATTTAGGCGTCCGACAACTGTCGTCTTCCTTGACCTTAATGCAACATTCGACTCTTTTGATCGTGAGGTCCTACGGCAGTATCTGCCGTTAAACGGTGTAACAGAGAAGTACATTAACCTTATACAAGCTCTCTACTCGAACACAACTGGTCGGGTGAAAGCTTATGTCGAACTGTCATCGGAACCAATTACTACAAGTGGTGTCCATTAGGGATGTACACTTTCTCCGTTCTTGTTTAATTTTTTCATAGACATACTTCTAGATATAACATTATCCTCGTCTGAATTTTCAGGAGTAGACCTTCTACCAGCAGATTCATTGGTTGACTTAAAATATGACGATGACACCGTTCGACTTGGTGAAGACGCTGACAAAATGCAGAGTCTTCAGGCCACGCTAAGCAACAATGCAATATATATATATATATATATATATATATATATATATATATATATATATATATATATATATATATATATATATATGATCATGATAATTTTGCCGAGACTTACGTGCAACATGACTTCGGAAAATTGAAATAGTTCAGTGGAGAAGGATAACATTCACGTTCAATGCACGCCTTAAAATGTAAAAGTTGAGTAATTAACCAATACAGTCTTAAAAGCGGAAATAAAATGATACATAACAAATCAATTGTAACTAGCAGTGAAATCTAACATGTACCATCTGGAAGTGAATATCTGCCTCAGGAGTTTTTACATATATCACGTAGGCACACTTTAACAACGAGAAGAGAATCGCTTTATTCAAAAATGATGGAACGCTCTTTGTTTTCCACGTTTTTCCAAACAAATCTATTGGTTAATCCGCTAGGGGTTTACCACTATCATTAAAAGAGTTAGAGTGACAGGTGACGCTTCAGACGTTAGAGCTACTTATATAGATTAATATTACAAGTTACAAGTATAAATACAACGTCATAATGCACATTTTGTTATATCAGTAAAGAATCATGTGACTGAATCGATATATACTTCTCACGCTGACTGGAAAATTTACGAAAAATGCCTTCAATCGGTAGAATAAACAATATTTACTACGGGACTATCCGAACTGTTGTAATTAAGTTTTAACTCGTTTATGATTAGTGCTGTATATTAGCCAAGGTTTTCAGTAGCTAGAAAATCATTGTGAATTTCATCATCAGAATTTGATGATTCACTAATATTTTCTTCTAATTTATTAAGGAATTCATTAGACAATAATGAAACATTAGAACAATCAACATGTGATACGACATCAGAAATTCGATCAATAACTGATTCATTCGAAACATTTTGTTCATAATGATTTTGAATTCCACTTGATACACATGGTTTGATTGTGTTGCGCTGATTACTTTCTAAATATGAGCACACTGAGCCTAATCGATAAGATGTGGACTATAAATTATTTTTTGTGGAGGTTCAGCTTTGGGGGTTATACATGACTAATAGGGCTTCACTTATTTTGGGACTTGGTACTTCAATTTACAGAATTTTGTTTATTCGTACTCTTCTGCTGACACGATTTCATGCGCATTTAATTTAAGTCGTTGTTTCTGTAAATTTACTTAATCGGCATAAGTAGTGTCATTTTTGTCAGCTTCTTTTCTCGTCTATAGATAGGATATAATCACACAAAATATTTTATTTAAAAAGTTGACAATCTCATTGAACTTGACTTCTCAGGAATGTTAAGAAATGATACTATTTCCGTACTTTTCATGATTATTGGAACCAAGTTCCTGTAACAGTAATTGGACTTGCTTAGTGTTGTTCATATTGGCAAACTCCACTCAGGAAATATCTATTCTGACAAGCCATGCTTCAGAGGTATGACCACCGTCTGCATCAATAATAAATTCTAGAAGTGAACTCAGACATGATTGAGTCACCGCTACGTTCTTATTGGTCCCCTATTCAGAAGTCTCTTCTCTGTCCTGCCCTTTGAGTTGAAAACACAAGTTAAACGCTTTGTCGGCACATTTAAAAATGGACTGTAGAAATCAAGAGTTAGGACCACTGAAGACCAATCACATGGATAGCAAGTGAATCATAACATGAAATCCTGCAACTCGATTTGTAGGGGAGGTGCTATAAATATACTAGCATTTTTATTTATGTGGTCCTTTTCATTTTACCCTGGTTTCATTAGAATACAGTTACAAACCAATTCAAGCTATTCTGATTTCGTGGACTAGTCGAGCGTAGAAGTGTTTTAAGAATGCTAAGCAATGATCTTTACAAGACCGATGATAGTTTACCGACTAGGAGTATAAAATTATAATTAACTTCTTACCTCATGTGCAACTCGATCGATTTCATCTGTCGTTACACCAATCTCAACTGCGTTTACTGCTTCTTCTAAAACTTCACGGGCAAGCTTGGAAATTGAAATACAGGAATTTGACCAAGGAAATAATTAATGTGAAGTAAATAAGGAATATTTTGGAGTACTTTTAAACCGTAGATCACACTTTCATCAGGTGAGAACTTGAAAAAAAGGTGATACATGTGTCGGTTTAACATTGTGTCACTGGATGACTGAACGTCGACTTTAATTAACAACTAGTAAATATGATTTACCATCAATAGTTACAAATGTTACTCATTAGGCTATCTACAATTCTGTGAATGGAAAAACTGTGATCTCTAATTTTACAACATACATAAGACCATTTTGCCAGTTTATGTATTTCAAAACAGACTGAATTTCGTCAGCAAAATCAAAGAAAAGGTCTAGCTAGTCATTTTTAATTTTTGAATATTTCATATCGATATCTATAAAACAGATCATGACCTATTACGAAGTGTAATCTGTTGAATATACATTCACAGTTTCACATGGATCTACGAATTTCCAAAAAACTAAACTGAAGTAGAAAGTACAAAGATGCCAGACTAATGACAATTGTTAAAAATACTGTAAGATGCATGAAAATTAATCGATTTCCAGTAAACTTGTAGCAAGAAATCCAAGGACAAAACATTAAAATCAAAAATAATAACTGTGTAGTGATATTACGTAGACGTATATGATAAAGTCTATGTGGCTTATTGATTAGGGAGTTCGAAATTAAACTAGCACGCCAGTAGTTTGAACCCAGCTTCGTCAGCTGCGGTTTAGGCAGTCGAGTAGTACCATCGACTCACGCAGTGTGCTTCGAGGCCAAGTACACGAATTCACACTCGCTAAATAGGTTACGTTTTAGTGTCGATAGCTGTGATAAGTGACTGGTGCTACTACAAAAAATTATCAATACAAATGAAATCACATTTAAGAAATAGAAATCTAGCAATTAACAAATTCTTAGCAAAATAGCAGCTAAACTTCTTGTACAACCATAAACTAAGTTGAGAAGTACAGTCTCTATTGGGTAACTCAGCATTCAAAGTTTACCGAGATATATTTTCATCTTAAATAGACAAAGAATTACCTTTCCTGAGACACGCATACATTCAATTTCATCGTCATCCAAAACGGCAATCTCGTGGGAATTCTTCGCTTGACGTTCTGAGACAGGAATCCCTACATGATTAAGATGAAAATGAACAAATAATCCTTAAATACCTGTGATGGCGTAGTCTGGAAATTCAATAGAACCCCTTATTTCTCGTTTAGGTGTCTGAAAGCATTAAAATGTGTAGAAATGAACAGGATTACTTTCTTAGCAGGTCGTAATTGACCCGTAAATTTATATCCGATGAAACGTTCATCTTTGTAAGTATCTTTTGTAACGAAGTAAGAAATGAATTATTGTTTACTAACCGGTATCCACATCGTGTACTGCCTTATGTATTTTCCAAAACTGTCTGAAGCATTCCTCAAAATTAACACATGAAAATATTTTTATGTCTTGATAAATACTTGTGAACAGAAGAAAGATGTTTTAATCCCCAAGTCGAGACACTTAGGGCACTTCATAGTGGACGGTTTGCCACATGAGGGAGTTATGCAAATGTTTGCCATTTTATTCAAAAGGTTATACTATGCATTAGTTGAATGTGCTGAAAATATTAAAACACATAGAAAGTATTTATTGATTATTTGTATAAAAGCATTAAAGGAATACAACAACGTTAAACTAGCTGAAATGATGATAGTCCGTACTTCGTTTTGTGTAAATAATACCCAACTTGATGACTTCATGATGAGACTTTTTCCGCCAAATTGACGGCAAGAAAGTAATCATGTGACTGTTATTTTCCAAATAACTAACAAGTGTTTGCAACTCTCTTGATTATCAATCTATAGTTTTGCTAAAGAAACAATGATACTATATCATGAATGACTCGACAAGATGTCAGATAAAACTGAAGAACAATACAATTACGACATAGCAGTCTATTTAGCATAGCTACATATTTCATTCTCCAGAATTCGAGCACAAAGAGCTGGTATAGTAGCAATAATTATGTTCTTTGATACATTCACAGTCAAATGTTCCAGCATACACAAACAATTTTAAAACGAAAACATTTGCAAAATAAGTCATATTTCTCAACCTTAAGTAGTGTAGGCTGTTAAAAGTGGCTACTTTACATAGACTGTATGATTTTGCCGCCCAGAAACCAGTCTTAAACAATGGTGTTCCTACATTAAATAAGTTTTTGGGCGCCCTTAGTCACACTATTTCATGCTGCTAAGGTAAATACTGATGAGAAACATTTATCAATCATATATTCCGTAGGTATTTATTCCAAACATCAGTTCTCTTATTTGAGTTCTACGTTGCAACTGACTGACTGATATCTCCCAGCCAATATAGCTCGGTTGGGTCATCACGATAGGCAAGCCCGACCACCACGTCAAGGTACCAGCTACGGTCGGGAAAAGTCTTGGCGGTAATCATAAAGGTTAGGGATCAAAGATAGGATTCGAGAAGTATATCCCAATGGGATCCATTAGAAAAGGAGAAAAAAGGTTGGCAGAAATTCAGAAGATTAGAATTTGACACAAACAATGGATGCACCTGCACCATTGCAAACGTTTTGAGATGTAAATTAGAGTTCCTTTTCATCGATTATAACTTTTGCGGACCCCAATCTCGTAGTCTGCACATACTAACATGGCTCAATCTAGTATTCAGTGACTTCATGGATTTGTGCCATGTTTTGGTTTGGCCGCTCCTGCCTTTCCTCCAGCCTACCCTTAAATCATACAACATCGCTTGTCGAGGTAGTCGGTGGTTGGGCATTCCTAACACGTGTCCCTCAACCTCAAACAATGGAGATTCACTGCTTCATCAACTAATCTGCCGTCCTTCTCTGGTACTCATTTCCTGACGCCAGTTTTGTTTACTTGACTGTAGCTGATATCATGACAAGGTGGTCATGCTTGCCTATCGTGATTACCTAACTGGGCTTTAATGGCTAAGCATCTGTTCCTTTATGTCCTACCCTACCAGGCAGGTCGATTGGAAAACGGTAAGACTGAAAGCATCTACTCAGGGTCTGAGAGCGAAGTCGTACAACAGATTGTAGGGGTGTGACGGCAGTAACGTGTTTCCCAGAATCTGGAACAATGCTACCTTCTCACAAGGAAGGACGGGGTTAGAACAGGTTGGCTCTAAAATAGTCACACCTTACCTCACGGATTTCCGTCTCCGGCAATAAGGCTATTTGAAGGGCGGAGATAAAACTTTGAAAACTTCTCATAAAAAGGCCGCGCGCGACCGGCCTCAAGCAGTTGTACCTCGGGCTGTGCAAAGACGCTTCTACGTCTCTAAGACCAACGCTAATCTACCTTTTCAGACGCACCTGCCCAAGGAATATCCCCAAATGTAGTGTGATAATTACAAACAAGAAATTCGTGGACAAGTGAATCTTTACACAATGCATTTCGTAAGCAGATAGCGATTCAAGAAAAATCAGTTAAGAGATGTTTACTCAAGATAAGTGAGAATACAAAATTCAGTTACATATGCTGATTAATTCCAAAAAAGCATCGTCCCTCCCCACAGAATTTGCAAATAAATGCATTAAGGTACGGCTAGGCAATGGATAATGAAAAGATAAGCAAAAAGTCTCCGTTCGAAGAGATACAGAATTTACCTCAGTCATAAAGGAATTATAGTTTAAACAGTTAAGACTGGATTGGAAATTAGAAATTTGCTTGTGAATATATTCTATAGACACATCCTATATAAGACTAACTGTTAGGAATTATGCACACTAGTTAACAAGATTCACTTCGTGTAGAGATGATTAGTGACCTGATACAATAGTTAAAGCTAACATACTTATGAACAGAATTAGATATTTGCTACTTCTTATTCTCCAAGCTTCAGATAATTTATGTGGTCTTTTCATCCGTCACTACAACCCTTGTCCTCTCAACACCAGTTTAGATCTTGTTGGTCTTCCCAGGCCTGAAAGATTTTGCAGGGAGCTCGAGGAATTCCTAAATTTCAGCTGTCGGTGAAGTCTTGGAGATGAAAACTAGGGGCTTTCAGCGGTGTTTCTCCTGCAATAGCTTTGAACTTTGAAATCGTTTCAAACCTTTGAGATCTCCCTCAAAGTTGGGAGAGTGAATTTCCGTGCAACACGTATTAGGTAGCTAACAAAGAACACCAGAGATAGGTTCATCCCTAAAAGAAATTTGGAATGTGATAAAAAAAATACGCATGACCCTAATTTAATGATCTAAAGGACCCTAACTTCAGCATTCGGTAAATTTCCGTTTGGCCTATAGGTACCTTGAGAGCTGGGCGAGTATCCGCATACGGTGTTACTTGGAAAAAGAAACAACGAGAAAAAATTCAAACCAAAGTTCACGCAAAATGAACTTACTTTTGATTAGAAAGCATCGGATAACAACCATAAATAATAAAAGCATGGGATTAAGGCAAACTAATCAAGAAGACCGCTGCGTCGTTCGAGAGGCCTTGAATGGCTTGGTAAACAACGGTCATTAGGTATTTTGAATTGCTGTAGGTTGGTTGAATATCCATGGATGTAATGGTATTTATATTTTCCTACATCCAGTTAGTCTTCCTCTGCCCTGAGATCACAAAATCTTTCCAAACAACCAAACTGAACTTCCTATCTTTTGATGTCTATACTTGAGTAATGCTTTTGGTGCTCCGTAAACACAAGATATGTCAGCCAATGTTAGCAATGTATTTCAGCGTATAATAATAACCAGGCATTTTAAAAGCTTGTCTGAAACGAAAATTGAGCTGATGGAATTTTAACGAGTGAGAGGCTCGCAATATAAATCATTCTCAATCCACGGGATTGGAGTAATGGACAGAACACTTTAGGGATCAGTTCAACTCTCATTCGGTCACAGTTCGGTTGCCCTTGATTTCCAATCAACCTGAGTGGCGAATGGATGTAAGTCCGCTTACCATTTTTCAAGTTGAGGCTATAGAATATTTGGAGCTTTGGAAAGCAGCGGGTCTTGATTGGTAAACGGTTGGCATTTTCAAGGGAAGTGGTCCAGTTCTAGCAGTTAGATCGGCTTAGATCTTAGGGCGAATCTGGGAACTGGACGTTTTCTCATCTTGCTGGTCTCAATCACAATTTCCATCTTTAAGAATGGACAAACGTCCTTCTGTAACAATTACAGGGAAATCAGTCTAAATAATGTAATGTTTGAGATATTGGCTGTATTAATACTTCGACGTCTAACAACAGATCGTGAAGAGTAAACTCGAGAAGACAGGGCTGGTTTCAGACCTGGACGTGTATGTATAGTCCAAACATTCACTCTTCATCAGGTCCTGGAACATGGACACACATTTAGGCGTCCGACAATTGTCGTCTTCCTTGACCTTAAAACGACATTTTTATTTGTCGATCGTGAAGTCCTACGGCATTGTCTGTCAATAAAAGGTGTTCCAGAGACGTGCATTACCCTTATACAAACTATCTGCTCGAACACTAACGGCCGAGTCAGAGCTTACGGCTAACTGTCATCGGAACTGATTACTTCGCGTGGTGTTCATCTGGGCTGTCCACTTTCTCGACATTAAGGCAGCATATGACTCTGTTGATAGTGGGTTTCTGTCATTGAAAGGTACACTAATGAAGTACTGTAAAACGTGTGCTTCCATTTCAAGCCCACACAGGTTGTCCCAAGCCTTCAGAATAAATGACTACCTTTCCCTCGTCTTCTGAATTCATCTGTTATTCGATCATATCTTAGTTGTTTTTATTCGCGAATGTGTTCCGCATACTTCACTTATTGCATGTCTGGTTTATTTTTCTCCACTTCGCTTAACCTGTATGCCTTTGATTCTCGTTTGTGTGCTGAAATGAACGCATAGATGATCGCTGGACACAAATTCATACAACCGAATACTTATTTAGCCTCTCATTACCGTGATCGCACAAAGAGGCTTAACATGAGAATGATATACAAAAACCGTAGGGAGCTTTATTTCGTCGCATAGTCGATCATTCGTGAATATTACAATCATCGCAAGCCACTAAAATGGTGATCCCTTCATCAGAATCTAACGCAGCCACAAAAGAGTTGAGCCTCAACATCGAATCCAACGCAACCTACGGAAATGCGTCGGCAAGGTGGCTTCCAACCTAATGCTTTCAATAAATGTTTTAGACTCGATTAACAACGCAGACAACTGAGTCTCCCATCCGGCGCACGCAGCGAAGCTAATTCAAAGATTATTTACACATAAATAGATCGTACCACCTCACTGTTATTTCATTCATGTTTCAACTGGTCACATAATTATATTTATCGAATTACCCCATTATCGTTATGATCATTATCGTAATATCATTATGCTGTTGACATTATATGATGAAAACTGTGGATTTATACTAATCACTAATAGAATCATAATAATTCAAATAATGTATTCACATGATGACGTTCGAAACTGACTGAATTATTTTCTGTTCTTCTGTAACGCAAAAATTCCATGTTTAAAGTAAGTCCGAACATTTTTTGCTGCATCTCATTATTATGTTTTGCTTCATCTATCAAAGCAATGGCTATATAAGACTAACTATTCAGTCTCATGTCCATGGCCATATGATTCTGGCATAACAGATAATTCCGCTGTAATGACTAGGACGCTGTAGGACTAAGGACGGTGGTCCAGTTTTAGCAACTAGATTGACCGAGATCTTAGGTAGAATTTAGGAATGGACGAAATCCCATCCAACTGGTTTCAATCCCTTATTGTCCAAAGTTATAAAAAAGGACAAAAGTACTCTTGCGACAATCACAGAGGAATCAGGTTAACTTACATAGTGTCTAAATTGCTAACTTCGATAAAACTTCAACCCCTAACTAGAGCACGTCAAGAGCAGACTTGAGAAGACCAGGCTAGTTTCAGACCTGAACGTGGATGTATAGACCACTCAAATACACACTTCGACAGGTTCCGGAACACAGACACACATTTAGGCGTCCGACAACTGTCGTCTTCCTTGACCTTAATGCAACATTCGACTCTTTTGATTGTGAGGTCCTACGGCAGTATCTGCCGTTAAACGGTGTAACAGAGAAGTACATTAACCTAATACAAGCTCTCTACTCGAACACAACTGGTCGGGTGAAAGCTTACGGCGAACTGTTATTGTAACTGATTATTTCAAGTGGTGCCCGTAAGAGCTGTCCTCTCTTTTCATTCCCGTTTGACTATGTCGTAGAAGGTAGATTAGCGTTCGTCTGAGACCTGGAAGCGTGATCACAGAGCCCAAGAAACAACTGCTTCAGGCCGGTCACACAGGGCGTTTTTATAAAAGGTTTATTGAGTGTTAGCTTCGCTCTCAAAATCTCTTACTGGGCAGCCCTAACCGCCGGAGACAGAAATCCATGAGGTAGGGTGGGGTGTGACATTCTTGGGGTCGACCTTTTCTAATCCTTCTTTACTTGATATGACAACTTGGACTTTTTGGTGTCTGACTTCTTAATAACAATATCAATACATGATATTTTTGAAGTATAGAGAATCTATGAGTAGTTGTATTTCATTTTTATATATTTATGTATATATACAAATATATACGCATGCCAATCATAATCGTTTTATAAACAATAAAAGAAAGCATGAGAAAATGAAACAAAATACTAACATTCGTAGAAAATAAGGCAATAGTAACATTAATAATTATAATAATAATAATTCATAATTATGATAAGAATATATAATGATATTAGTTTTTTTTCACAATCGTCAATTAGATGTAGTAAATTTATGAATTGCTTTTTTTAAAAAAAGAAAAAAAAATAAGATGAGAATATACACAACAGAATAGAAAGAACATCATTTTAAATAAAGATAGAAGAAAACAAATCAATCCATTCACTGAGGACAAAACATGGAAATACACCAATTAGCACACAGAAAAATGCATGCATTCATGCAAATCACGCGTGAAGACTAGATGGAGTTCAGACAAATAAGAGAATATTAGTTGTTAAAAAAAACATCATTATAACTAATTCAACAACTCCGTCGAAATACAATGTATAATAACAAATACAAGATAAAGCGAGATAGAAAATAGAAAATGCAACGGTATAACACGCAGACACATAAACTTACATGATAGGCGCATGTTTACCCAACAGATGTGTTATTATACACAGAAGGAAACGTATATGAAGCTTTGTTTACAAGCTCCTCAAAAATCAAGATGTTATCTTGTCAAACATAGAGTTTACTTAACATAATTTAATACTATGCCTGAACTTTTTTTAAGAAAATGTCAAGAAAGTGAACCTATATACACATGAGAAAGACAAATATAAAATATAACGATAAGAAGAGACCGAAAAATTGAATAATACAAAACCCAGAGTCTAGAAAGACTACTCAAACTCATAATACATAACGCGATCACAAATATCTACCTTAACCCACCACCTAGACAAAAAAGAAACACAGTGGTATTTATTACATAAGAATGATATAGGAAAATAGAGTAAAGCAATGAAGATAGATTTACAAATCTTAGAAATATCTAAACATAATAAGCAGATTTATCTGGAAAAAAAACTGACCATGTGTTCTCTATAATGTAAAACATTCGATTGGATAGGATAGTGAAGAGTGAGAAATGGTTGTCGTGATAATAAACACTGAATGAAACAGTTCGTGGAATGACCACTATTATTATTAAGAGAAAAAGGTGATAACACAGGATAAGGTATTATTTACCGTAGTAAATAATGATTATGTTTCTATTATTTGAATGATGGTACTTAACAAGAATAATCGCAACAGACGGGAAGTTGTACAGAAGAAAATAAGTAGAATGGTGCTTCAAACAACCAAAAGTGTTTCAAGTTGGCAAATACAAATATTTAGAAAAACCATATTAAAGCAATATTATTAGATCGTCAATAAGAAAAGATCACCAGTCACACAAGATTAGTGATTAAGAAGTAGTCTAAGTCTAGTGTATATGCAGAAGTATATATATATATATATATATATATATATATTTATATACAAGCTCGGGAGATAAATTAAGAGAACTATACAAAACAGCAATAGTACACAGTGATCACTGTCAATCCGATTTTCATACGAAGTGAATGAAAAGAAATGGAGGAGAAACAATAAACGTGCACAGTAATGTCATGAAAGGATGAAAAGTTAGTCAAAAAATGCATTCCAATAATTGAATTCAATAAAAAAATTAGGTCAGTAAACAAGAAAGTACATCCGAATAATTACAATTATTGACTAAATACAATACATGGCTGGGCTTTATTACTACCTCAAATCTCAAGTCTTTATTTGCCTACTTCGTTGGAGCCATTACTGCTACTACTACTACTACTGTTGCTGCTGATGCTGTTGTTGCAGTGCTTGGATATGTTGTTGCTGTTGTTGTTGTAAAGCCTGCTGATGAGCTACTTGTTGTTGTTGATGGTAGGCCGCTGCGGCCATGAGACCTGCTTGCTGTTGATACTGTTGCTGTTGATGATGTAAAGCCATAGCTGCTACAGTTGCTGTTCCTCGGGAAATAATCGCTGCATTAGTATTAGTGACGCCAGCATTCGCAGCTGCTGCAAGCATAAAACCAGAGTGTTGTTGTTGATATAATGCTGCGGCTGCGGCGTTGGTAAATGCAGCAAGTTGGTAATTATTAACTGCTGCAGTATGCCCTCTTGTATCTTGTTGTCCCACTAGAACTCGATTAAGCTGTTCTTCTTGAGCTGGATTAACAATTACAGATGTTGGTGTACTACCATTGATAATAGTACCAGAAGTATTCGAGGACATTAACACTCCAGAGTGTGGATTAGCAAGTGCTGAAGTTTGTGAAACTCCGGCTGCAGCCGCTACTGCTGCTAATCTCTGCTGGTGCTGTTGTTGTAACAATAGCTGTTGGTGTTGTTGTTGTGCAACAGCTTGCTGTGCGTCAGTCTGTGAATAACCTGTTACTAGTTGCAACTGAGTAGCAGCAATCGCAGAAGTGCCTTGAGAATTAACGATATTAACATTTTTCTGCTGCTGTTGGACAGCTGCTGCTGCTTGTGCTTGAGCAGCCGCTGCTAATGCAAAACTAGTTGGATCAGTTGGAGAAGCCAGAATCAAACCAGCAGCCATTCCTTCTTGTGGATGGCAAAAGAATGTAGTTGGAGCAGCTGCCGTCGCAACAGTACCTGCCGAGTTAATACCACCACCGCCAGCAGCAGGGAAAAGAAAATTATGCGCCGCTTGCTGATGGGCTGCTAAAGCCACAGCCTGTTGCTGCTGTTGAAGTTGGAATTGTTGTGTTTGGTTGGGAGTTGATTGGTTACAATTACCATGATTAGAAACTGTAACTAGGTGTGTACTAGCTGCAGCCGCAGCAGCAGCCGCTGCTGCATAGTTGGCTTGTTGTTGTTGTTGTAGAAGTTGCTGATGTTGAACGACTGCTGCTTGTTGCTGCTGTAATTGTTGGAGTTGTTGTTGTTGAGCTGCAGTTGCATGAAATCCGACAACCTGTGGGAAAATTGCTTGACCAGTCTAAATGTAACAAAAAAATCAGATATTACAAGACTCAATATAGGCTCTTATACACACAAGATCAATTGTTAACGCAAATTTTTAGTATTTATCAGATTTTTATAATAATTTCTAAAACATATCTAGGACGGGAATATCACACACAAAAAATACTGGTCAAAAGGTCTATCACTTTAAAAACGCTTACTTCCAATTTACAGGAAATCTTAAACTCTGGTTGGAAATATCCAGTAAAATGTATGGTTAATTAATTTTCATAGATGATTATAATATTATTATGATTATAATATTCAGAGATGATTATAATATTTATCATTTGATTTAAAATACATTTCAAAATATCAAAGGTAATACATAACCTACATTTTAATGTCAGCATTTAAAAACTAAAATATTACCTGTTCATGCCTTTAAAGAGAAATACTAACAATACTGGCGATCGCTTATATTAGTAGGATTATGGTACTATGAAAGAGTTTGAAAAAACATTGCGGTGATAAACAGGTATGCATAACGCAATTACCAAAATGAGCATTAGTGGCTAAGCATCTGTTCATTTAGTCCTACCTTGCCAGGCAGGTCGATTGGAAAACGATGAGACTAAGAGCATCTACACAAGGTCTGAAAGCGAAGTCGTACAACAGATTGTAGAGGTGTGTGACAGCAGTAACGTGTTTTCCTCGGACAACCAGAATCTGGAACAATGCTGCCTTCTCACAAGGTAGGATGGGGTTAGAAGAGGTTGGCTCTAAAATAGTTACACCTTACCTCACGGATTTCCGTCTCTGGCGACAAGGTCATCTGGAGAGCGGAGCTAACAGTTTGAAAACTCGTAAAAAGGCCGTGCGTAACTGTCCTCAAACAGTTGTACCTCGGGCTCTACAATCACGATCTCACGTCTCTAAGACCAACGCTAATCTACCTTCCTTTTCAGGTTCCTCAAGAAGCACCCTTCCACAGTGTTAGCAGCCAGGAAGTGACATCCGCCCTCATACCCGTAACAGTACATGAGAGCAAATCGGTCACAATCAAATCCTTCATACGCCGCCTAACATCTCGCTTATTTCCACGAATAACTCTTCTCACATTCCTTCATCACCACGCGACGCTAATTCGTATGATTCGAGTACGCTAAGCGTTATTCCTGATCTAATGAAACCCCGTGCTTAACTACATTTTGGAGCTTTTAATGTTCGAACCTTGTGCCAAATAGGATAACAGGCTCCATTAGCTAGAACTCTCGAATCCTGTGACATCGATGTATGTTGCGTCTGCGAAACAAGTATACAGAATCCGAGTATAGTGAGTAATTTGACTTCACCTTGTCAAGAAAAAGAACTAAATTGGGTTGGGCTTCGTGTGTCTGAAAGCTCTACTGCTGCTTCCCATGAGCTAGCTGGTGTAGGTATAGCACTGAATCGGAGGGTAGAACTAGCTCTCTCACACTGGATACCACAAGATAGTCGCTTCTGTGCTGTCTGACTTAACGGGAAAGTAAAGACTCAGAAAGGTAGGTAAATTTGCCGTTGCCACTTCGCCGAATCTACCTACGCTCCCATTGACTGTAGCTCAGATTGCGTAAAAGATGAGTGTGACGGGAAGCTAACCAACCTCTTTCTTAAAATTAAGCGCTCTGATATATTAGTACTGGCACGTGACATCAATGCTCAAATGGGTAGACTAAGCAATACTGAACGACACTAGGTATATTTTATGGTGTCGTGGATGATTGAAGAGATAATGGAGACCGTCTACTGCAGCTCTGCTCAGATCACCATACATTCCAAGCAAGTACAAACGCACCAACCCATTATTTCGTTCCAACGTTGAGCCCAACTAGATCACATTACTATCAGCCTGCGATGGATAGGCTCGAGAGAAGATTGTCAATCGTTCCGGGGTGTATGTTGACCCCTAACTAGAGCTCGTGAACAGCCGACTTGAGAAGACCAGGTTAGTTTCAGACTTGAACGTGGCTGTATAGACCACATCTTCACACTACGATAGGTCGTGGAACACAGACACACATTTAGGCATTCGACAATAGCTATCTGCCTTGACCTTCAGGCGGCATTTGACTCTGTATGTCGTGAGGTTCTATGGCATTGTATGTTATGAAAAGGTGTACCAGAGAATTACATTATCCGATGGCATAGTTCTAATTGGTGAAGATATTATTCAAGAAGTATGATTCAGTGTGAGAAGTTTACAAAGTTGAAGAATCCAGAAGATCAGGATTTGAGAGAATACAAAGAATAAATGCACCGGCCCCATTGCGAACGATTTTGAGCCATGTCATTCAAGGTCTCTAACCATCGATAATTATCATCTCGCGGACCCCAACCAAGGTAGTCGACAATTACCGACATGGCTAAGTCCATTCGTCAATGATTTCATGGATTTCTGCCATGTTTTGGTTTGGCCGCCCCTAACTTTCTTCCAACCTACTCCTACACCACAAAACAAAGCTCGTCGAGGCAGTCGGTGGTTAGGCATACACAACACATGTCCCAACCACCTCAACTGATGAAGTTTCACCACTTCATCAATTGATCCGCCATTCTTACCTAGCATCCGTTTCCTAATAACAGCGTTGCTCACTCGGGTGTCCCAGGATATACGAGCAATGCTTCGAAGACACCTATGATCGAAAACCAATAACCGACGAGTTTCTTCTACTCTCACTGGCCATGTTTCACAGCCATAAAGTAAGACGGAGCGAACTACTGCACAGTACACTCGTCCTTTAGTCAGCAAATGGATATCTCGCCTACGTCATAAGTGACGCAGGTTGGCAAAAGCCAATCGAGCCTTCTGTATCCGAGCTGAGATTTCGTCAGTCACCAGGCCATCACCACTGATGAGACTCCCAAGATAAGTGAAGCGGTCTAAACACTCGACTACTTCACTCCCTATCACTAGTTCAGGTGCCGATGAAACCCAATCTTGAAGCAACATTTTGCATTTCGAGGGGGAAAACCGCATCCCGAACATGCAAGCATTGTTGCGTAGGGTGATCAGAAGACGCTGCATTTTGTCAGCGTCTTCACCAAGTAGGACTATGTCATCGGCATATTCTAAGTCAATAAGCGAGCCACCAGGTAAAAGGTCTACTCCTGAAAATTCAGACGAGGATAAGGTTATTTCTAGGAGCATGTCTATGATAAAATTAAACAAGAATGGAGAAAGTGGACATCCATGACGGACACCACCTGAAGTAAAGAATTCCAGTGACAGTTCGCCATAAGCTCTCACTCGACCAGTGGTGTACGAGTAAAGGGCTTGTATAAGGTTAATGTACTTCTTTGGTACACCTTTCAATGACAGACACTGCCACAGAACCTCACGACATACAGAGTCAAATGCCGCTTTTAGGTCCAGGAAAACAACTATTGTAGGACGCCTAAATGTGTGTCTGTGTTCCAGGACCTATCGTATTGTGAAGATGTGGTCTATACAGCCACGTCCAAGTCTGAAACCAGCCTGGTTTTATCGAGTCTGATCTTCACGAGCTTTCGTCAAGCGTCGAAGTAAAATTGAGGCCAAAATTTTAGATACTATATTAGTTAGACTGATTCCCCTGTGATCGTCACAAGAAGTCTTTTGTCCTTTCTTATAGATTAGGACAATCAGTGATTGAGACCAGTCGGATGGAATTACGTCCAGTTCCCAGATCATACCTAAGATCTCAGTCAGCCTAGCTGCTAAAACTGGACCACCATCCTTAAATATCTCAGGGGTCAGTCTATCAGGACCTGCAGCTCGCCCTCGCTTCAGACTTCCTAACGCTTTCTCAACTTCATGAAGACTAGGGGGACTTACGTCGATTTGCCATTCAGGATGACTGAAGAGTGGCTCGAGGCCACTTGAACTGCCCATCGATCCAGTCTCCTGGATTGAGAATGGATAATAAGACCATCCTTTTCCGAGATAGTCTCACTCACATTCGGGTTCCTAATACCAGTTTCCTTGATGAGTCTAAATAGTTGCCTACTGTTGCCTATCGCCGCTACCTTTTCCATCTCTCTCACTTTCTCCACCAACCACTGTTCACGGTCAATAACAGACATTTAAATGATATTCGACTGTAAGACAAACAATCTAGTCATTAAAATGCTCAATATAGCTATATATGTAAAACGAGGGAACCGATAAAACGAATCTATACATATTAGTGACTCATATGTAAGGTTTTATAAAATGTAACAAAAAACTCACTAATGGATGAGCTTGACCGGACTGATTTGGTGCACCTATATGAGTCAATACCATCATAGGACCTGAAGGTGTAGCTACAGTTTTCAATTCAGGTTGGAAGTGGATTGAAGTTTGTGTAGGTTGAACATTAGTACTTTGTTGGTTTTGATGAACACCATTAGATGACTGCGTGGCCGTAATTGATTGAGCAAGAGCTGGCATTGCAGCCATGGCAAAAAACTGTTGATGTTGCTGCTGTTGTAAAGAAATTCCTGATGGATGCATCGCCGATACGGAAGCTACACTGACGCTTGGTATCATCACAGTTCCGGCTGCTGCTTGATGTTGCTGTTGGACAAGATGAGGACGAGGAGTCATTGTAGGAAACATTAGACCGGAAGCATTAGCTGCAAAAATCGGATGAGATGTTTGAGTTGCACCAGCAGGCGATAGTGAAACAGTTAGAGGAGTAAAACTAACTGCACATGCTGCCGATGTTGTGGTTGCAACCACTGGAACTGATGCAAAAACCGTAGTTGCACTGGTAATCGATGCTGCTTGATTGCTTATTTTTATGTCTGATTCTGTATCATCAATATTTCGTATACCACCAACAGTTTTTCCATTCTGTGAACTATGCAAAGACATATTGGTGGAAATAGTGAATGAGTTTTCTACTGATGACATAACTGCTTTGATCTCATCATTGTTAGAATCAGAACTATCAATTGTAGACTTGGATTTTCGTTTGGATAAACGTGATGGCGTAGAGCCTAAGCAGATATAATTTACAGATGAAATAAACGTGTGAACAACAGAATCATAAAAGTTCAACTTCTTTTAAAGAACAACCGAACAATCAGCCAAAGAATAGAACGTAAAACTATCTATTTAAGATATATATATATATATATATATATATAATAGTGAGTTTTCAAGTATTAAAACCTAAAAATTCCTGAACAATTATATTATAAAAACTATTTATTTTTAAGCAAACGACATTGTCTAGAAACACGAAATTACACCTATTAGATTAGGCATCGATCCAAATTGCTACAATTCATATAATCACGAAGAAAAGAAGTGTCAAGATGCGAAAACAAACACTAGTAATATCAACGATAGTGAAGAAAACTCGAAAAAAATGATATAGTTAGGGGAACAGAGAATTAAACCAAGAAGCAAAATATATAAAAGGTAGATTCTTAAAACATACAACTGAATACTTCCAACAGAATTCAGGCAATGTTGATTACGAATAAAACATGAATTTGACCTGGGTATTTGCACCAACCCAAGAGATGGAAATTGACTTTCAGAAGGCTCATGGGAGAAGGAGTGTTATCTATCTTACAACTATCACAACCCTGAGTCAGTCAGTCAGTCAGTCATTCAGTTTCAACGTCGAGATTCATGTATATATATACATGAATACATGGTTATATACAAAATCAGCACAGCGACGAAACTGTCAATTCCAATTCCACAGTAGTATAGGTAGTAAAAGTATTAGCAGTAATCGGAAAGAGGATAATATTCAAGGAGTACAATGAAGTGAAAGACACTTAAAAGGATAGAGATAAGCATGAGATTTCGTCAGACACCAGGCCATCAGCACTGACGAGACTCCCGAGATAAGTGAAATGGTCAACACGCTCGAATACTTCACTCCATATCACTAGTTCAGGTGCCGCCGCAAGCCAATCCTGAAACAACATTTTGCGTTTCTAGTTCTTTATCTTGACAAGGTGAAGTCAAATTATTCACTATACTCGGATTCTGTATACTTGTTTCGCAGACGCAACATACATCGATGTCACAGGATTCGAGAGTTCTAGCTAATGGAGCCTGTTATCCTATTTGGCACAAGGTTCGAACATTAAAAGCTCCAATATGTATTTTAGGTCGGGGTTTCAGTAGACCAGGAATAACGTTTCGTAAGTTTGAAACGTTCGCTTCAGCAGTGCGAGGTGACAAAGGAACAGAAGTGTTGGTCGCGGAGATAAGAGTTATTAGGAGGTGTAGAAAGGATCTAATAGTGATTAATTTGGTCTCGTGGTTTTATGTGTATGAGGGCGAATGTTACTTCACGGCTGCCCACACCGTAGAAGTGCTTTGGTTTTCACAACCTTACGATTCAATTTCTTATTTTCACTAGGTACTCGTAGTCTAATCTTAGTAATATTTACTGAGTCGTGAAGTACGTTAAGTAAATTAAATGTAATTATAAGAAATATGTACAAGAAATATAGCTAACCTGGCGCTTTTCGTTTTATTGCCATATTTATTCCAACACCCGGTTCACCTTGATGTACTCCCCGGATATGTCTGTTAAGATCGGATTTTTGTACAAAGGGTTGCTGACACTGTTGACACTCGAAATTTCTAGCTGCACGATCATGATGTTTCAAATGATCCTTGAGTTTATCTCTAATAAAAGTAATCAATTAAAAATAGGTAAGTTAATATTAGAGTAATCTGCAGGTGACATAGGTTCCAGCCAATATAGTTCGGTTGGGTCATCACGATAGGCAAGCCCGACCACAACGTACATATAGCAGCAACAGTCGGGCAAGAAAACCGACTATTTTAAATTCGAAAACAGAAAAACTAGGTTTCAAATGAGAGAACCGTGAAGCGACCTGACGTGGTCACTGGATGAGCGACAACGTAGAACTTTGTACGTACGTACATACAATCAAGTTGCCTTAACACAATAGCATACGAAGACAACTATCAGTTTAAATCATATAGCAGTCGAGATAGTAAAAGTATTAGTGGGAATGGAGAAGATTAAGAATCGAAAAATTAACCAAGTAGTATCATTCAGTGAAATAGATTTAGAAAGAGAAAGATAGAGGACATGGGGAATCCAGATGATTAGGATGTGGAAGAACGGAAAGAATCGATGCACCTGCGCCACTGCAAACGGTTTACAGCTATTCAATTAAAAGTCTCTAACCACCAGCGACAACTGTCTCACGAACCCCAACCAAGTCGTCTGCACCTACTACCATACCTCATTCCAGGTGTCAGTGACTTCATGAATCTGTGCCATGTTTTGGCCTCCTCTGGCTTTCTTCCAGTCTACTCCTATCTCAGACAACATAGCCCATTCGGGCAGTCGGTGGTTGGGCATACGTAACACATGTCCCAACTACCTCAACTGATGAAGTTTCAATACTTCATCTATTGATCTGCCATCTTTACCTAGTACCCATTTCCTCCACCTACGCGATTGCAATCGATTTTAACCATGTCATTCAAAGTCTCTAATCATCGGTTAACAGCACTTCTTGGACCCCAATATGGTAGTCTACACCTAATAACATCGCTCAATGACGTAGTGGATTTATGCAATGATTTGGTCTGGCCGCCCTGACGTGGTAGTCGGAATTGGCTGTTGTGATTACCAAACTAAACTATACTGGCTGAAACACCCGATCATTTAGGTTCTACCATACCAGGAAGGTCGACTGAAGAACAGTAAGACTAAAAGTAGTCAATCAAAATCTGAGGGCGAAGTCGTACAGCTGATTGTAGGGGTGTGTGATAGCCGTAACCTGTTTCTCTCGGACAACCAGCAAATGCAGCGATGCTGCCTTCACAACGGAAGGAAGAGGTTGACTCTGAAAATGGCACATCTCACCTTACAAAAATGATTTTCGTCTCCTACGGCAAGGCCATTTAAAGAGAGGAGCTAACAGTTTGAAAATTTCTCAAAAAGGCCGTGCGTGAATGACCTCAATCAGTTGTACCTCGAGCTCTGATGTCAGGCCTTCAGGTCGTTAAGACCAACACTAATCTACCATCCGTTTCACGTTCAAAGTCGTGGGCAGGCGGTAAATGACAATCGCAATCATACATGTGAAAGCATTTGAGACCAGAATGGTCAAAAATAAATCCTTTCTACACTTCCTAAAAACACTTTTATAACTAAGACAAACCCTTCTTTCGCACCATTTTCACCCCCTTGAAAACGTTAAGCGCTCTGATATATTAGTACTGGCTGGTGACGTCAATATCCAAATAAGACTAAGCAATTCTGAACGACAATGAGTATATCTTATGGTGTCGTGACTGATTGAATGGAAAATGGCGATTGTCTAAATGGTGTTACGCTTCGTGTGTCTGAAAGCTCTACTGCTGCTTCCCATGAACTAGCTGGTGTAGGTATAGCATTGAGTCGGAGGGCGGAACTAGCTCTCTCACACTGGATACCACAAGATAGTCGCTTCTGTGCTGTCCGACTTAACGGGAAAGTAAAGACTCAGAAAGATAGGTAAATCTGCCGTTGCCACTTCGCCGTATCTACCTACGCTCCCGTTTACTGTAGAAGTACATTAACCTTATACAAGTTCTCTACTCGAACACCACTGGTCGAGTCACAGCTTACGGCTAACTGTCATTGGAACTGATTACTTCAAGTGCTGTTCGTCAAGGTTGTTCAATTTCTCCATTCTAATTCAACTTTTCATAGACATGCGTTTACAGGTAACACAATCTTCGTCTGACTTCTCAGGGGTGAACATTCTACCAAGACTTTCGTTTGTTGACTTAGAATATGCCAATGACACCGTCAGTCAGTCAGTTGCGACGTAGAACTTCGTATGTAAGTACATCAGTTCATGTCACCATACCACATCAGCACAGAGATGTAATTGTCGATTCAAATCCAATAGTAGAAGAGTTAGTAAGGGTATTAGAAGTAATCGGAGAGGTTAGGATGAGAAGATATTATTCAAGAAGTGTGATTAAATGAGAAAAGTTTAGAAAGTCAAAACTAGAGGTGTTGAAGAATCCAGAAGATTAGGATTTGAGAGAACACAAAGAATAAATGCACCGTTCTACTTGGTGAAGACGCTGACTAAATATAGTCTTCTGTCCATATTAGGCAACAATCCAAGCATCTTCGAGATGCGATTCTCCCTCTAGAAACGCAAAATGTTGTTTCAGGATTGGCTTGCGGCGGCACCTGAACTAGTGATATGGAGTGAAGTATTCGAGCGTGTTGACCATTTCACTTATCTCGGGAGTCTCGTCAGTGCTGATGGCCTGGTGTCTGACGAAATCTCAGCACGGATACAGAAGTGTTGCTCGGTTTTTGCCAACCTGCGTCACTTATGACGCTAATTAAAGGATGGATCTACTGAGCAACAGTTTTCTGTCTTACTTGATAGATGTGAAACATGGCCACTAAGAATAGAGGATATTCGTACGTTACTAGTATTCGATCATAGGTTTCTTAGAAGCTATGCTCGTGTATCTTTGGACTATCGAGTAAGCAACGCTGTCGTTAGGAAACGAGCACCAGGTAGGGATAGCAAATCAATAGATGAAGTATCGAATCTTCATCAGTCGATGTGGTTGAGACACGTGTTGTGTATGTCTAACCAACGACAGTCTCGTTGAGCTATGTTTTGCGACGTAGGAATAGGTTGGAAGAAAGTTAGGTGCGGCCAGACCAAAACATGGTACAAATCCATGAAGTCACTGACAAGTGGATTGAGTCATGTCGGCAGGTGTCGACTACCTTGGTTGGGGTACGCGAGATGATAGTAGTCGATGGTTAGAGACCTTGAATGAGATGGCTCATAACAGTTTGCAATGGGGCAGGTTCATTCATTATTTGTGTTCTCTCAAATCCTAACCTTCTGAATTCCTCATCACCTTTATCTTTCTCTTTTCAAATTTATTCCAATCGGACATACTTCTTGAATAACACCTTCAAACCCTAATTTTTCCGATTATTGCTCATAATTCTACTAACTCTACCAGTTTGGAATTCAAATTGGGGACTGCTTTTCTCTGCTAATGTGGCGTGGCAACTTGAACTGATCTACGTACGTACGAAGTTCTACGTTGTAGCTGAATGACTTAAATCAAATCGAAATGGTCACTTCAAACTCACTGAAAGTTTGAGGCTGTTAGTCAGTCTATTAATAACATTGTAGGTGAATAGCTGGCAACTGGAAAGTAGCAGGATTTGAAGTTAAAAAATTCCTTCAAGTTTTTTATACATCATAACTATACTGATATGATAGTAGGTCAAGGATCCGCCTTTTCGAAAGAAAATATTGCTGAAAATTGATCATCTTAATTTGCGCATTTTTGATAAGAATGGACTTTGTCCAGGATACTACAACAATTTTTATAGAGCTAGAGTGAACTCAAGGCTATTCGTGACGACCTTAACAACTTTGATAAGCAACTGGAGAACCATATGAACAACAACGGGTTTGGTTACAAAACATTTTATGATTATTTTTGTAACACTAACTGTATTTTATAAACCTTAACATTGTAAATCTTTAGAGTGGGAGAGTGAAAAATTTATGATAGACACTTGAAACTACTTCTTCTCTTCATGATGAGGTAGTTTATTCAAGGGTGCAGATAGGGTTACATAGAATTAGCTTTAATCTGCATTTTGAGATACGGTTAGTGATACATATTAGTTTCTAAAGCTGAAGTAGGTAACAGGATGTTTGAACCAGTAAACCTCCAGCCGAAGGTCATATACTTCAATTTACTCGTCATTGCTCCCTCCAAATAGTTAAAAGTTGAAGCGTTTATAAAGCTTAAATCAAATGATTTGCGACAAAATTAATCCAATAGTGACAAAAAAGTTGGCTTACTTGCGGGAAAAAGCTTTACTACATATATGACAAACATGAGGTTTTTCAGCGGTATGGATAGACATCACATGACGCTTAAGTTTATCTTCTCGTACGAAGCTACGACCACAAGTGTCACACATATGTTTTGGCTCTTCATGCATAACTCGATGTTTTAGAAGTAAAGCCTTTTGTGAAAAAACCTTATTGCACGACAGGCATAAGAATTCACCCTTTACACCTGTATTATTCCAGTTATTAGGAGAAACATTGGATAAGCTTCTGGACAGGTGATCCTCTGAGCCAACTTCACCGTCTGAAGATTCGTTCGCCACAAGAGAGTGGTGAAAGCGAACACGATCCTGAATATAACCAAAGAATACAACAGATAGGTGATCCTAGATTATTGACAACAGTTTAAGATTACAAATGCAGCTCTAGAAAATGGCATTACTAAACAATAAAATTACATGTAGTAACTAGAACACACATGAGAAGAGATAGCTCATCTTGTTAACGGAAAATCAGATTCAAAACTTCAGATTATCATAATTAGTAAATAATAATAATACATATTAGCACTAATTATTACTTTGGAAGTTTTTGGAGTCTTCAAATTATTTCTGCACTTTTTTTTAAATGAACCTATGATAATGAAGAAATAAAACTCAAGAATAAAATCGTTTTCCGATTTTATTGTAAGTACTGACGCTACGAACAACGTCAAAAAAAAAACTACGCTATAAGTTATTTTGAATTACATTCTGAAGTTCTAAAATTTGTACATCAATAAAATTGTCATGAAAATACTGATATTTTAGACGTTCGATGTAACGTAATTATCTAAAAGTTAAAATAAACTAGATGAAAAGATCATATCCTTCTATATAAAGAGAACCAATTATCCGTGAACAATATGTGACTATGCATCTTCAGATCTTGTGTATATTGGTTGAAACGAGCTGATAGCCAGAGATTAGGCGGCTACTGTTTGCATTACCCTAATTTTTATACAAATTAAGACCAACATGTACTTCTAATCAAACTTCTAATGAATATCATTCGACAATGTGGACCTTTGACAGTGCTAAACAGTTTGAGTTCAACAGTAAAAAGCTGTTACAAAAGTTACTGAACGCGCGGTCGTACATTGGATTCTAACGTTATTTTCATTTCTAGTTTTATGCATATATTTTGAGGTAGTCATGAATTTTATTCTTATATGAAGTGTGCACGATATCCATTTAAGACGTAATACATAGATATGTACTGTAACTTGCCTATAACATCATATCAGGAACAGGTAACGTATATCTCAACTGAAGCAATGTTTGAAGCTTGTTTAGCCAAGCGATTATGCCAGTGTCCCCCACTCAACAGTATCACTAAACGGTTATCATAAGAGAATCGTGAACAAACCACAACATTTGCAAACCTTGTGTTAATTATTGCAACAAATTTACAGATTACATAATTATATGCTCGGGTTTAAGTCAGACAGTTTGTGAGAGTTATTCGTAGTGAATCTGTAACCTATCGATATAAAGTCAATGCATTATGTCCCATATCTGATATTGCACTAAAAAGCTAAACCAACACATAAATATGGAAACATCTAATTTAGGGTTCCAGAGAATAAATCGAACAGACCATTACAGTTACCGAAAAACTGTCACTTATATCAGCAAGTACACTATTCAATAATAGGGATTTATCAAACTATATTAGGCAGAAATCCAAAATGAGGAACAAGTTCTGTATGATTTTGGATAGCTATATTTTGTTATCATTGCTGAACAGCGTCTTAAGTGGATGATCAGTATGTGGTTATTTGCTCAAGAACTTCTAAATATTGATCATAGGTTTAGGGTTGACATTGTTGCCTAACCATGAAGACGGTTGAATGATGAATGGCTGAATTAAATCTTAATGCTTTATAGGTCTTTTAAATTGATTTGTTTGACACTTTATCTGTAATACCTAAATAACAGTTGACAATTTAATGATCATCAAAATTTATGATTCAAAAATGACTATGACCAAACAATTCATATGATTTTTCGAAGAAACTATGCTACGTGAACTAAGCCAACCAAATACAATGAGCAAAACTAATTACATGTGGATCCAAACGGCTACACACTACTATCCAATCACATAGGCTGCTTAAATATCACTGAAAACCATGCGATTATAGAGAAACTAAGAAAATGGGATGTCAATGAGTTATGGTTTGAAATACTACATAAAATAATTATGTAGTGAAACTTCCCATTTTGCTATTTCGTAAAAAGCACAAGTACCAAAATATTTTGACGGAAAAACTTAAGCGTTATGCACTAAATCAAATTGAAACGCTTCAAAATGACAATGAGTTTATGACGTGAAGCTTCCTGATGACTTAAAAGAATAATTTTTGGACAGTGTGAAGATGGTGGTTGGTGCCAGGAAAAGGAAACGGTACTGAGTTGAGGAAAAATCTAGACACGTAGACCCCAAAAAATAAAATCGCCACTTAACACAAATCCGTTTGTGCACAATTTCTCTAGTATCAGTTTCAATAATATAGAGTTAGAAGCATTACTCCTAGATTTTGTGACTTTAAGAAAATGGTTAGAAAACGGCTGTTGAAATTCAATTTGAAGACCTTAATGCTTAAATGATAAAACCAGTAACCTCGATAAAGATGATGACGATCAACACTAGTGGACTGTGGCTTTAGATACTTAAATAATAAATAATGCACACAATTCGAAAGGGATTTTGACAAAAAAAAACTTAAAACTGATGACAACCGGTTAATTACCATAACCAGACAAAGATTACGGTGGATAAAAAGGACCATTTAAACAAAATGAAAAACATTTTAAATGACGAATTTTAGACATGAATAATTCAGCCTATAATGGCAAAATGGCTAGTTCAAATTCTCAAACAGTTAATGCGAAGAAATTGTTAAGCATAGTGTCAAGGACGTCTTCGAATTTTTCGATCATATAAAAAGTTCAATGGTCAAAAATAAATTCATGGTATCGTTAGATGTGTCATCTTTGTTCACCAACATTCCTCTACTAGAAACTGTGGATTTTATTTATAGTAGACTAATAAAGAGACGTACAGAAACCATCCATCCTGTATCTGCGATTAAACAGTTAATTCTCAGATGCATGATGAATTTATACTTTTGATTCGATAATGAATACAACAGACAATGGAATAGTGTGGTCAAGGATGAACAGTTGTTTATTGTTGCTTATAGCTGCTGCCATTTCCATCGCTTTTGCTTTCACCGCCCATCACTGTTCGCGATCATTGCATTGGCTTTTTATCAGCCTGCGCCGAAGCTGACCCGTATTCAGAGCCAGACGGTATGAGTTTCCGAGTATCCATCAGTTTGGTAGATGCTACTGAGATCCATAGCTTCTTCCTAGCCATATGGTTTACCTTACTAGCAGATATCACTGCTGTTTGCGCAGCCTTTTATATATCATTCCAGGCTGCCTCCGGATAGGAATCACTTACATGACCGCCTAACTGTTTTTCTAGTTTCACCTGAAATATATTCTTACCTCTGCTACCAATGAGTAGAACTCTAAGAGGTTTCTTTGCGGTGTCTTTCCTACGTCCAGTAAGTCCCAAACAAATTCGTGTTAGCACAAGGGCATGGTCTGAATCTAGACAAGTGCTTCAAAACGAGTGACAGTCCTACATCGAACCACTCCATCGGTGGCTCATGGCAGTGTGGTCCATCTGGGTCCAGCGTTGAGACGACTTTGAGGGTCGCCAAGTCAGGAGACGTTCTTACTTATGCCTGAAGTTAGCATTTGATAGAAATAGGCGCTTATCTCAGCATATCTGCAGCAGACAGTCGCCATTACCTGTTCGATCAGCTGCGACACCATAAGATCCACCCAGGTGTCTTTCCTTTTCAATCAGTCTACCTACTTGAGCATTCAAGTCACCAGCCAAAGGTACTTTAACAGAGCACTGAAATTGTTGGAGGCCCGAAAGCTTTCTGAAGAACTCATCTTTTACCTCGTCTGAATTGCAGTCACTGGGAGCGTAGGCAGATACAACGAAGAGGCAGCAGCGAGTGTCCCTATCTTTCCGAATCCGTACCGTCACGTTCAGTCGGACAGCGCATAATCGACTGTCCGCCTGTAGACCCTTCGAGGCTACTGTCGATACCAAGCCCGGGTAAAGGAGGGTTGAAATGTTAGTTTTGCGACCCAATCCCGGGAAAAACTTACTTTGCAGAAAACGCTATGAAAGGAAAATCAATTCAAACCATACAAACTTTACTCTGGGAGTTAAGCCTTCATTTAGAAGTACACAGAACCGTTCCACGGTGTGGGCAGCCGGGAGGTTACGTTCGCCCTCATACACATAAAACCACACGAGACCGCATCGGTCACTATCAAATCTTTTCTACACCTAATAACTCTCTTATCTCCGCGACCAACACTTCTGTTCCTTTGTCACCTCGCACTGCTGAAGCGAACGTTTCAAACTTACGAAACGTTATTCCTGGTCTACTGAAACCCCGATCAAAAACACATATTGGAGCTTTTAATGTTCGAACCTTGTGCCAAATAGGATAACGGGCTAAATTAGCTAGAACTCTCGAATCCTGTGACATCGATGTATGTTGCGTCTGCGAAACAAGTATACAGAATCCGAGTATAGTGAGTAATTTGACTTCACCTTGTCAAGAAAAAGAACTAAATTGGGTTAAGCTTCGTGTGTCTGAAAGCTCTACTGCTGCTTCCCATGAACTAGCTGGTGTAGGTATAGCACTGAATCGGAGGGCGGAACTAGCTCTCTCACACTGGATACCAGAAGATAGGCGCTTCTGTGCTGGCTGACTTAACGGGAAAGTAAGGACTCAGAAAGATAGGTAAATCTGCCGTTGCCACTTCGCCGTATACACCTACGCTCCCGTTTACTGTAGAAGTACATTAACCTTATACAAGCTCTCTACTCGAACACCACTGGTCGAGTCACAGCTTACGGCTAACTGTCATTGGAACTGATTACTTCAAGTGCTGTTCGTCAAGGTTGTTCAATTTCTCCATTCTAATTCAACTTTTCATAGACATGCGTTTACAGGTAACACAATCTGACGAAATCTCAGCACGGATACAAAAGGCTCCAATGTCTTCTGCCAACCTGCGTTACTTATGATTTCAACTAGAGCGGATAGAGACACAACACGGTTTACATTTCATCTACTGGGATCCAATCAAAAAGAGCAAGTTCCGCCCTCCGACTCAATGCTATACCTACACCAGCTAGTTCATGGGAAGCAGCAGTAGAGCTTTCAGACACACGAAGCCCAACCCAATTTAGTTCTTTTTCTTGACATGGTGAAGTCAAATTACTCACTATACTCGGATTCTGTATACTTGTTTCGCAGACGCAACATACATCGATGTCACAGGATTCGAGAGTTCTAGCTAATGGAGCCTGTTATCCTTTTTGGCACAAGGTTCGAACATTAAAAGCTCCAAAATGTAGTTAAGCACGGGGTTTCATTAGATCAGGAATAACGCTTAGCGTACTCGAATCATACGAATTAGCGTCGCGTGGTGATGAAGGAATGTGAGAAGAGTTATTCGTGGAAATAAGCGAGATGTTAGGCGGCGTATGAAGGATTTGATTGTGACCGATTTGCTCTCATGTGCTGTTACAGGTATGAGGGCGGATGTCACTTCCTGGCTGCTAACACTGTGGAAGGGTGCTTCTTGAGGAACCTGAAAAGGAAGTTAGTTTAGTGTCGGTCTTGGAGACGTAAGAGCGTGATTGTAGAGCCCGAGGTACAACTGCTTGAGGACAGTTACGCACGGCCCTTTTACGAGTTTTCAAACTGTTAGCTCCGCTCTCCAGATGACCTTGTCGCCAGAGACGGAAATCCGTGAGGTAAGGTGTAACTGTTTTAGAGCCAACCTCTTCTAACACCATCCTACCTTGTGAGAAGGCAGCATTGTTCCAGATTCTGGTTGTCCGAGGAAAACACGTTACTGCTGTCACACACCCTACAGTCAGCTGTACGAATTCGCCCTCATACCCTGATTCGCTACGTTTAGTCTTACCGTTTTCCAATAGACCTGCCTGGCATCGTAGAACCTACAGGAACATATGTCCCAGCCAATATAGCTTGGTTGGGTCATCAGGATAGTCAAGCCCGACCACCACGTCAAGGTAGCAGCTACGGTCGGCGTGAAGACAGGTGTCAGACGTGGTTACTTACCATCACCCTTTCTATTTCGCCTGGATTACAAATATGTCGACATCTGGAGGGAAGTACAGTATACTGTAAACAGCCAAGATGCGGCTGGACACCCAACTTCGCGATAAACAGTCTGGAATCCGTAAGGATCGATCGTGTACCGACCAAGTGCAACATTACGGACAATTGCAGAACAATAGCTTGAATTGAACTGACCATTCCAAATCAACTTCATTGACCACGGGGAGGCATTTGACAACGTGGAGAGGACAACATTATGTAGGCTTCTCCGACACACTGGGTCGTGTCTGAGAAAAGAGAGTCAACATCATACGGAATTCTTACGATGGATTAAACTGCAAAGACACAGAACAGCTGACAGACTCGTTCGATGAGGAGACCAGTGTCAGACAAGGTTGCTTACTCTCACCCTTTCTCTTTCTCCTGGTGATCGACTGGATTATAAAACACGGTATACTGTGAACAGCCACGATGCGGCTGGACATCGCAGATGATCTGGCTCTTCCATCTCACACACAGCAACATATGCAAGAGAAGACGACCAGAGTAGCACCAACCTCAGCAGCAGCAGCAGGTTTCAACATACATAAAGGGAAAAGGAAGATTGTCCGACACAACACAACATACACCAACCAAATCACTCTTGATAGATATGCCTTGGACGACGTCAAAATCTTTACATATCTGTGCAGCATCACTGAAAATCAAGATGGATCCGATGCAGATGTGAATGCGCGGATCGGCAAAGCAAGGACAGCATTTCTACTACTGAAGAACAACTGGAAATCAAAACAACTACCAACAAACACCAAAATCTGAAACTTCAACACAAATGTCAATACATTCCTACTGTAAGGAGTAGAAACTTGGAAAATTACCAAAGCCATCATCCAGAAGATACAAGTGCTCATTAATAGTTGTCTATGCCAAATACTTTGCATCCGTTGGCCAAACACCATCAGCAACAACTTACTGTGAGAGAGGACAAAGCAGATTCCAGAGAAGGAAGTACTCAGGAAGAAGCGGTGGAAGTGGATGGGGCATACATTGAGGAAAGCACACAACTGCATCACAAGACAAGCCCTCCCTTGGAATCCTCAAAGCCAAAGTAAAGGAGGAAGGCCAAGGAACACACTACCCCGAGAAATGGAGACTGATATGAGAAAAATGAATGACATTTGGACATACCTAGAAAGGAAGGCCCAGGACAGAGTAGGTCGGAGAATGCTGGTCGGCGGCCTATGCTCTATTGGGGGTAATAGTCGTAAGTCATAAAACTTCTACTTAATAACTCTGAGGATTATACTGTAACTACATGGTTTGTTTATGTGGTAGGAAGTCAAGGACCGTTGCGACCTAAAGCTCAGGAAGACGGAAATAGTTTAGCTTTTTAGTTATTAAAAATAAGAACCCGAGCACAGTTCAAAACTGGAACCTGAAGTACAGAAGAGAGATTGCTATATATGAGGAAGTTTACACTCTATTACTTGGTTTTGAAAAAAAACTTTAACATAATGTGACGGATATCCAACAAGTGCAGCGTTACTAAGCATCAAAATAAAAAATTATGATTAAAATTATTAACTCACTGAGATTTTGTTCGCATTCACGAAACTTTTGTTACACAGATCTGAATTTGAAATATTTATTTGTGAATCGCTTAACTCATTGTGAACTGGAGCTAAACTTAAACTATACAGACGATCTGTACCAGTACCTTCCAAAGCTGGATCAAGAGTTAAAGATGGATCAGGCTTACGATTACCGGCCAAAGCATACACCACATCATCAACAGCGGCAACTGCAGCAGCAGCATAATCAGCATCGTTGTACACTTTCTCTTCTTTAAGGGACAAATGAACAGAAGAATGCCTATCAGGTTCATCTGTATCTTCTAAATTGTCATTATGGTGCTCTGCTTGGAAGAGTAAATTGTGATCTTCATCAATAGTCCGTGCCTGAACCTTATCTTTCGACGGTGACTCGAAAATGGTAGAAGCTTTGATCACTGGAGAACTTTGAGTTTTACATGGTTCTTTGAATGTAAGGTCTTCTGTTAAGGGGGATACAGATGTGGTTATCTTACATTCGTTATCACCATTAGCAGACTCGGAGACACTTGTAATATCTGATCGGATAAAACAATCATCTTTTTGACTTTCTATTTCGCACTTAAAATCAATCGAGCTCTCATTAGACGCCATTAGAGATGTAAGTTTCGTATTCGCAGAGAACTGAGTTATTGTTTCTTTAACACTCTTTGGTGACTCGTGCGGTGGTATCACATTATTGGTATTGTCATTTACATCAGAAACATCAGTGTAAACGTCAGGGAAATCTGGCTCAGCAGAACATATAACAGATGTCTTTGCAGATGCCGACTCGCCACTAGTGGTTGGAGAGGGGATTTTTTCTGAATGAGAGATACATCTAAGGTTAATGCTCACTACTGTATCGACATGATAATTGTCAGAGGTTTTCAAAAAGTACTCATCATCAACAGCCGGTAATGAAGCTGAGTGTGACGAAATAACTTGTTCTAAATCCATTAAATTTTCGTCTGTCGCTTTAGATACAGAGTCAAAATTGTCATCCGAAATTGCACACTCTTTTGCTGCCTGAATATCTGGTTCACAAGTAGTAGTCTTCATCCAGTTATTGGTAAGATTATCCGATACATCGGCTACATTTGCTGATGAGCAGACAGTATATTCCTTTGGTCTAACAATGGGGCTCAAAACGGTTGTTGAGGTATGTTCACCAATTGATAAACACGTGGGTGTGGAAGTGTGCTCAGATGAGTTGCAATCCAAAACTACTTTGGGAGAGCTTAGTGATGAACAAGAAGGACGAGCTGTATCTTCCAGAAGTAAAAGGTCTGAATTAAAAACCTGGTTATCCTGACTTTGACAAGTTGTGTAACTGTCCACATGCACAGGTGGTGTATCTGATAGGGGAAAGTGAGAAACTGACGAGAATGAAGAATCTGTGAGTTTATTCTCAATAGGATGAGATTCGCATGGCAAACTATGGTGAAGCATACCGGACGCATGTCTAGCATCTGAATGAGGCGTCTGAATAGTGGAATGAGATCGGAATGTCAAAGGCGAACTGCACGGAGTGGAAACGCTGCAAGACAACAAATAACTGGTAGACGCAGACTGTGTTGTGGGTGTTGGGATTAAAATTGAGAGAGGATCATCGCTATGTTCGTAGGGCGTTCTCGTCAAACTATGGCGCGAAACTAACATAGGGATACTATCTATTGAGTGAATAACCTGAGGTTGGTCGCATACGCCCACTGACATAGGTCTGCAAGTGATTGTATCCACAATTCGACTACCCCTCGAATCAGGTGGAGTGTTAAGTCCAGAGGAAGAACGAACTGTCGGTGAACCTCGGTGAGCCCTGGAATCAGCAGCTGCTACAGCGGCTGCTGCTGCCAGAAGAGAACGCACATCTTCATCATCATCGACTAAGGGTGACACATCAGGAGAGTGTTTAATGCATAAACCAAGATCAGTTGTGAACGGCAACAAACGATCTGAAGAATTTCCAGGCGCTATTGTCGTCAGAGAGAGAGATGGTGTGAGGTCTTCCAAAACATTCGAAGCATGATCAGAACAGGTAATCCCCAAAGACGTTGGATGTGAATATTTTGAAGAGCCCGGCTGAATAGATTCAATGTTGACATCAATATGGACGGTACTTGTAACGCCACTTTCAGTGACGGAAATAGAGGTAGGCACCTGTGGAAAATTTCAAATCAATCAGAACTTTGAGTAGAGGCAAACGGTTCAAAAAGCTTAAAAAATAGCCAATTTGCCCAAAGGAAAACGTACGACTTACATTTATTGCAGTTTGAACCCAAACTCAAATAAATAGCTGATTGTCTTCTAAGGTAAAAGATATCAATAAACTTAGGTAAATGGGCCTGGTACCAATAACATTTACAAGAAAGAAACTACGTTGACATTAGAGATGTCCTTATTCATTTAAAAACAAAACAAGTAGAGAAACCTTTAACGATATTTACTAAAGTAAAATGGAGCGTCTACATTGGTCATGCACTTAATATCAACACGGTGGAGTGAAACGAAAATGAAAAACATACACTAGTAATATCAACGGTAGTTAAGAAAACTCGACAAAAATGATATAGCTTGGGAAACAGTAAATTAAACCAAGAAGCAAATATAAAATGGTATAATCAAAGACTTAAAGGTAGATCAAAAAATACATACATATGGGTAATCGCAACAGATTTTAAGCAATGTTACTCAACGTATAACGCCATTGATTATGAATAATATGTGACTTCGACCTGTTCATTTGCACTTCCTCCGCCAACTGAAATTTACTATCAGTGACTTCATGGACTGAGGAATGTTACATCTCTTACAACTATCACAACCTTGCCAACCAATTTCTCATGAAGTCGAACATCAAAATTTACTCAGCGGTTTTAACATACACCATCAATACTTCAAGATAACTACGACCAAATAATAATGCCTGCATAGCCTGACCGTAGCTGCTGACTTAACGTGGTAGTCGGGCTTGCCTATCGTGATGAGCCAACCGAACTATACTGGCTGGAACATATGTTCCTGAAGGTTCTACCATGCCAGGCAGGTCGATTGGAAAACGGTAAGACTAAAAGCACCTACCCAACGCCTGAGGGCGAAGTCGTATTGCTGACTGCAGAGAGGTGTGACAGCAGTAACGTGTTTCTTTCGGACAACCAGCATCTGCAGCGATGCTGCCTTCTCAAAAGGAAGGAAAGGTTAGAAAAGGTCGACCCTAAAAATGTCACACCTCCCCTAACTCACGGATTTCCGTCTCCGGAGGTAAGGGCTGCCCGCTAAGGGCTTTGAAATGAGCGAAGCGAATACTAAAATAACCTTTCATAAAAAGGCCGTGTGTGACCGGCCTGTGCGATCACGCTCCCAGGTCTCTAAGACCGACACTGGTCTACCTTCCTTTTCAGATTCCACAAAAAACACCCTCCCACAGTGTGGGCAGCCGTGAAGTGGTATCCGCACTCATACTCGTAAAGCACGCGAGACTGAATTGGTCACAAAGGAATCCTTCCTACACCCCCTAACATCTCTCTTATCTCCACGATTAACTCCACTCACACTCCTTTATCACACCGCACCGCCAATGCAAACGATGCGAGTTCACGAAACGTTATTCCCGGTCTCCTGAAACCCCGTTCTAGACTGCATGTTGGAGGCCTAAATGTTCGAACCTTGTGCCAAATAGAACAACAGGCTTGATTAGCCAGAACTCTAGAATCCCGGGCGGTCGATGCATGTTGCGTCTCCGAAACGCGCATACCAGACCCGGGTAAAATCATCAATTTGATCTCACCTAGTGAAGATAGAGACACAACAAGGTTTACGCTTCATGTTTCTGGAAGCACTGATGACGCTTTTCGTGGCCTCGTCGGCGTAGGTATAGTATTAAGTCCTAGGGCAGAACTAGCTCTTTTAGACTAGATCCCGGTATACAGTCGCTTATGCTCTGTCCGACCGAACGGGACGGTACGGACTCGGAAAGATAAGGACATGCCGTTGCCTCATCGTCGTACCTGCTTGCGCTTTCACTAACTGCAGTTCAGACATGAAAGATAAGTTTTATAGAAAACCTCTCTAAACTTCTCCAAAATGTTAAGCGCTCTGATATAGTAATGATGACTGGTATCCTCAACCCTCAAGTAGGTAGACTCTGAGAAAAAGAAAGATACCTGGGTGGATTTTATGGTGTCGCGGCTCATAGAACAGATAATGGCGACCGTCTGCTGCAGATGTGCTCAGATAACCGCCTATTCCTAGCAAACACTAACTTTAAGCATAAGGTAAAACACCTTTAGACCTGGCGAGTCTTCTGACTAACCTGAGCAACAATGCAAGCAAGTTCGAGATGCGGTTTTCCCCCTCGAAATACAAAATGTTGCTTCAAGATTGGGTTTCATCGGTACCCGAACTAGTAATAGGGAGTGAAGCAACTGAGCGTATTGACCGCTTCACTTATCTCGGGAGTCTCACCAGTGTTTATGGTCTGGTGACTGACGAAATCTCAGCACGGATACAGAAATCTCGACTGGCTTCTGCCAACCTGTGTCACTCATAGTGAAGGTGAAATATCCGTTTACTGACTAAAGGACGAGTGTACTGTGCAGCAGTTCGCTCCGTCCTACTATGTGGCTTTGAAACATGGCCAGTCAGAGTAGATATTCATAGGTTGCTGGTTTTCGATCATAGGTGTCTCCGAAGCATTGCTCGAGTATCGTGTGACAGATGAGTAAGCAACGCTGTTGTTAGGAAACGGGTGCTAGGTAACGATGGCAGGTCGACAGATCAAGTATTAAAACTTCATCAGTTGAGGTGGTTGAGATATGTGTTGTGTATGTCTAACCACCGACAGTCTCGTTGAGCTATGTTTTGCGATATAAGAATAGCTCGGACGAAAGCTAGAGAGGGCCAGATTAAAACATGGCAGAAATTCATGAAGTCACTTACAAGTGGACTGAGTCATGTCGGTAGGTGTCGACTACCCGGTTAGGGTCCGCGAGATGATGGTAATCGATGGCTAGAGACCCTGAATTACATAGCTCAAAACTGTTTGCAATGGCGCCGGTGCATTTATTCTTTGTGTTTTACAAAATTCTAACCTGAATTCCTCATCACCTATATCTTTCTCTTTCTCAATTTACCTCACTGCTACCTTGACGTGGTGGTCGGGCTTGCCTATCGTGATGACCCAACCGAGCTATACTGGCTGGAACATATGTTCCTGAAGGTTCTACCATGCCAGGCAGGTCGATTGGAAAACGATGAGACTAAAAGCACCTACCCAAGGTCTGAGGGCGAAGTCGTACTGCTGACTGCAGAGGGGTGTGACAGCAGTAAGGTGTTTCCCTCGGACAACCAGCATCTGCAGCGATGCTGCCTTCTCACAAGGAAGGAAGGGTTAGAAAAGGTCGGCCCTAAAAATGTCACACCTCCCCTACTCACGGATTTCCGTCTCCTTGGGTAAGGGTGCCCACTAAGGGCCTTTAAGAACGGAGCTAATCCTCAAAAAACATTTCATAAAAAGGCCGTGCGTGACCGGCCTCAAGCAGTTGTCCCTTGGGCTCTGCGGTCACGCACCAACACTAATCTATCTTCCTTTTCAGGTTCCTCAAGAAACAACCTTCCACGGTGTGGGCAGCCGGAAGTAAAGAGACAAGCACTTCAACAAGTCACGAGGTTCTGGGCCACAAGAAGCACAGTCACAAGGAATGAATCTCTATTGGTACTTTGAATAAGATTCAAGAAAGAAGGAACAAGAAAGCGTCAATCAAATAGGCGACATCAGCAGATGCTTCAATCTCCTCTCATTACCAGGAAACGTCTTCAACAGTGTTGTTAACCAAAATGAAAGACTCGCGATCAACAGTCGGGAATCCGTAAGGATCGATCGTGTACCGACCAATTGCAACATCACGGACAATTGCGGAACAATAGCTTGAATTGAAATGACCATTCCAAATCAACTTCATTGATCACGGGGAGGCATTTGACAACGTTGAGAGGACAACATTATGTAGGCTTCTCCGACACCAGGTCGTGTCTGAGAAAAGAGAGTCAACATCATACGGAATTCTTACGATGGATTAAACTGCAAAGACACAGAACAGCTGACAGACTCGTTCGATGAGGAGACCGGTTTCAGACAAGGTTGCTTACTCTCACCCTTTCTCTTTCTCCTGGTGATCGACTGGATTATAAAACACGGTATACTGTGAACAGCCAGGATGCGGCTGGACATCGCAGATGATCTGGCTCTTCAATCTCACACACAACAACATATGCAAGAGAAGACGACCAGTGTAGCACCAACCTCAGAAGCAGCAGTAGGTTTCAACATACATAAAGGGAAAAGGAAGATTGTCCGACACAACACAACATACACCAACCAAATCACTCTTGATAGATATGCCTTGGACGACGTCAAAATCTTTACACATCTGTGCAGCATCATTGAAAATCAAGATGGATCCGATGCAGATGTGAATGCGCGGATCGGCAAAGCAAGGACAGCATTTCTACTACTGAAGAACAACTGGAAATCAAAACAACTACCAACAAACACCAAAATCTGAAACTTCAACACAAATGTCAATACATTTCTACTGTAAGGAGTAGAAACTTGGAAAATTACCAAAGCCATCATCCAGAAGATACAAGTGCTCATTAATAGTTGTCTATGCCAAATACTTTGCATCCGTTGGCCAAACACCATCAGCAACAACCTACTG